CTATTCGGGGCAATGTGGGCAATACTCCATATTTCTTCATGCCGGAGAAATCTGGATCTTAAAAAGTTATGAAAGTAATTGACCAAGATTAGGTTCACGAACCTCTTTTGTTTGTAGTAATCGATCATACTCTCGAGTTTCCTTGCGTGAGCAAAGCGTAAATCGTGTTATTAACAAAATAAAAAACTGTGGAACTGCTTATGTCTTAAAACAAGAAGCACAGATGTTATTCTACTGAAAAAAAAACAACAACAACAAAAAAAAAAACAACAGAACAATGAAAGGACGAAAACTGGTGGCTTCAAAGCCTAACATATGGAACCATTATTTGCAACAACGTGACAAAGTCATCTCCTGATTGTAAAGAGACACTTGAATCTTTGCTTGAAAGTATTGTACCATTCTTGAATTTCGGCTTCTTGCAAAAAAAGTCTCAAAGTGCTTTACATTTAATGATATTCCTGGGATTCACATTTCTTAAAATGCAGTCCGCGGTAAACGAAAATGGACGACAAAACAAGTTTCCATTAGGCGCCAATCGAGTACGTTGTAGAATTTTTAATAAACCCACATGGTGTATAAATTGGATCATTTTAGCTTTTATGGATCTCATCATGCGTCACAATTCACCCCCAGGTGGACCCAGGTGGTCATTTGTGTTTAAGTAAAGCGGACATGCGGATGTAATGACTCCAGTTTTCTAAAATGGCAAGCAAATTGGCCCATCCTAAAGCAACCGAGGAAATTTTCCCGACAAATTACAATCCCTGGTGCCTTATTTCCTCTGCTCAGAATTTGAACGAAAGCTCAGTCTCAGAAAATAGAGGAGCAAAGATACACATTTCAAATCATCATGTTTCACTCATTTGGGTAAACGCAGCTTTTATGAAATGTGGCCGCCTACATCCGAAGACTAACTTGTCATCAGTCGCTTCATTTGATTTTAACTGTCAAGCTGTAAAACATTCTGAGACAAAGCTTTGATTAAAGATCGTTTCTATTTAGAGTATACAGCTACGATGTACATGTATGGATAATTAGCATTTTCTTTAAATTGAAAAACTTGTTCACCTACTCCCAGGCAAATATATTCGCATCACTACTTATGAAACACGTTACCAAGCCTTGTCCTAGTTTTTCTTCCATTTCTTTCTCTTTCTTTTCAGTAAGAAACTTTGGATTATTACGCTCATTAAACAATATAATCCATTAGAAAGTCTCCTATAACATGCACGTCGATCGCTATTAAAAGGTATTTAAATACCTATTACAAAAGGTTTTTGAATAAACCGCTCAATCACTTTGTTTGCGCCGGGAAAACACCTTTCACTTGTAATTGAACTTTAATCCTGCCGTTCTACTTAAAAGGGGCGGTAAGCATAAAGATTCTGGACAACATATAAGAGTTGGCTTTGAAACAAGAGTGCAATTGAAAAGAACGATGAAAGCAAAATATTTTGTTCTCTTCTTGTTTATCGCGGGCCTACTTTTAACTGTGATGTCCTTGTCTCAAGTTAACCCGCAAGCTCCCATGGGTAGGAAGAGGAGGGTACTCCAGGTCAGTATAAACAAATAATGATCTAGTTTGTCCGAGAGATTCTAAACATGACCGGCTTTCCCACTCAGTTCTTAAAATCATATAATGACGAGGCTTACCAAAAGAAAAGTCCAGAAATCAAGACAGCAGCTACACCCCAGGAAGGGGCAACTAGTATTGGCCGGTTTCTGAGCAAAAGTTTGGCGCGAAAGTTTTGCGACGATTTTCGTACCCAAATCTCTGGGAATTCGTACTTGGCTTTAGAACAAGGCTAGGCAAAGAGAAAAACAAAACAAGAGAATTAACGAGCAACAACAACAACAAAAGAGTAAAACAAAACATAACCAAAAAAACCACCTTCTTTGCCGGTTTGATATTCCTAAATAATTTTATCAAAAACCCTTCTTACCCCTTTCTTTTTTCATATAACACAAATTTTAGATTGTAAAGCGCCATGAGCAACAATTTTTAAAGTGAGATTAAAATTGATATCTTGGTTTATAAAACTTACACGAGGATATATAAGGTGCAAAATCTGTAACTGCAGATGACTGTAAAACATATGAAATCTCAAAAGAAAAATATAATCGTTTGTCTCACGATGTGGTCACTTCGGACGTAGATCGCGACGTTTCGACTGCATTTACCGCTAGTCTTCTTCATCCCTTGAGGAGGAAGACTAGCAATATGCATTCGAAACGTCGTGAACACTTCCGAAGTGACCACATCGTAAGACAAACCATTATATTTCTCTTTTGAAGTGCTATTTACCACAATGAATAAGTACAACTTATTTTACGAGATGACATTTCCTTTTAAATATAAATCATTGTTATCTGCACCGCAGATCAAGCAAGATATGTGCCGTGCAGTGAGGAATCTTCGTTGCGATGTGTTGGAAGACGAGGAGGATATAAACAGGAGGCTTGACTACTCAGCCATATAGCAGTCGTTTAAAGAACACTAAAACTGGCGTAAAATCAGAGTGTTTTTTTGTTCTTTTTTGAGTGTCACTCAAAAAAAAAACTTAATACGAAATGTGTCACGATATGTTACAAAAATGCCAATATTTAAGCTAAGGGGCTCAAAATTGAAGTTATACGAAGGTGAAAATAAGATATGTTTTTGATTACCAATTGGGGTACTTGAAATAAAGAATTGTAAAAGAAATTACTGTTTCGTTGTTATCTCTTTGCAAAGTTTCGTCAACAACTTCTGGCCACGAATTACAAAATGTATTTATAACTTTATGTTTTATATTTTGCTCTTAAAACATCATTAAGTATTTTTATAAGTCATCATTATCATCTGCCCTTTCAGCGCTAAATGACGCATGAGGCCTTTGTCATGAAACTACTATAAATTTACAATTTGTTAACGTTTGGTACGTTGATGTCTCCTGGGTGATATCTGTGTGCCACAAATAGAGTAACCAACATGATGAATTTTGAGTTCGTCAAAAATTAAAGAAAAGGAAAAAGAGGACAATTTGAGTTTTTATGAAGAGTCGAGCCTCAGACTTTTGGATTCCGCGCAACGATGCTCTACCACTGACCAGAGAGAACTCTGTGGTCTTTAAGACCACCAATATTTTTTCTTCGTCCCACGCACTTTTTTCGTTCATTACGTTGCTCACGGACCATCTTTCCTGCTCTCAATGACATGACACTCTCGACACGGCTGATCCTTGCATTATGTAAGATGTGGGCTTCATATGAACCTAGAGTTGTTCTAGAAAGTGTTCGCTTTGGAATGTTTAGGCTCTTTTTTATAGTCTCACAAAGATATGCTAACCCCATATGTATGACGGATAAAAAGTCTAGTTCCACATTTCATAAGCGGTGATAATATGGTCAAAACGCTGAAATTTTAAGATGTTGCCGATTTCAATCAACTTTTCGATTTTGCCGACAGAGTCGCGTTACTAGTTAGTTAAAAAGGACGGCTACTATAAAGGATTTTGTACAGGGAGGAGAATACTTTCCCCTGAACTGTATAAAAAAAAAAATAAAAAAAAAAACCGCAATAATTGCCACTGGTTAACATTTAATCAAATTTCTTACTCTCGCAAGCTTACATTTCGCTAACATGGATGCAGAGACGATGAAGCATTTTGAAACGTGCAGTAAATCATCGTGCACCGGGCCAAGGTTGCATTCCTACTTCAATTCATCTATCTGCGGTACTTAGACAGGCTGGCACATGCCCAGTTCAGCTTTAAAGCTAATTGAAATGGGGCCTGTGTAAACATTAACAAGGCCAGACCACAACACCTCACAGGAGCTACAGGTACATTGCCTGCTCTTTATAGTAGTTTCATGACAAAGGCCTCATGCGCGTCATTTAGCGCTAAAAGGACAGATGATAATAATGATTTATAAAAATACTTAATGATGTTTTAAGAGGAAAATAGAACACATGGAGTTATAAATATATTTTTTAATTCATGGCCAAAAGTTGTTCACGAAACTTGGTAAGGAATGATGAAAATGAAACAATTGGTAATTCAACGAATCTTATTTTCATCTTCCTTCGACTTCAATTTTGAACACCCTAGCTTAAATTTTGGAGTTGTTGTAAGATATCGTGACTCATTTCGTATTAAAGTCTGTTTTTTCTAAGTGATAATAGCGAGGAGTGCTTGGGTTCCTTAACGTCATAAAAACAATCAGAGCACCGATTAATTTTCGAGGCGCAGTTACTGCCTTTGATTTTTATGCTGCTCGATACAGATGTCAAGTTCAAAACATTTTAAAGACGTCAATTGTCGCTCCTTGATTTCGTTTTGGTTTTGACAAAAACACCAATTGAGAGTTTTGACTGATTTGTTACTTCCTGTTTCAATTTCATAACCGGAATACAATAAACTATTAATGGGCGTATGGTTCAAAGAAAAGGGTCTTCAAACAGATAGATGCTAAGAATGTCAGTAACAGAACGGCCTCCAGTTAAGTGAAATAAGTCAGTTCTTGCTTTGTTTGCGGCATGCATGCGTACCTGCACACGTAGAACCTGATGCACTTAAATCTTTTGGGAAATACATGCTCTGATTGTTGACCCGTTGATCATAACCCTGAACCGTAGACTGCTGTACGTGTCCCGTAACACGGTGAATGCGCATATTTTATTCCAAAGATAACCAGTTTCGTTTTGGATCAGTTAGCATACTACTGAGACTTATTGTTTGATTAACATGGTAAGGATGACTCACTCATAGTGCGGTTACATGATACTCTTGCCTTGTTAAAATATGACACGATATAAGCGCTGTAATGAAGCGGTTATTTTTTGCACAAAGTTAACATTGGAGTCCAGTTGCGATGAAAAAGTAATCAGTACATTACGCCTGTGTAAACACACAAAAAAAATGCAATACCGTTTATTGAAATTGAACTTAGGCAACAAAGGAGACATACAACTCTGTTTTGACAATTTGAATTTAGTTTTAAAAATCTAAAATGTGTTATTCAGCTTCCTTCGGCGGTATCTCAGTGGTTTCTGTGACAAAACTATCGTCGTGGAGCCTAAAGTCAAATCCGTTGTTTGAAAAACCGTCTCTCCTTAGAGATATGTCTGGTTCGTTGTTTTTCTCGTCCAACCTGAAGGTTTTTCCGCCGCCTACTCCATAAGCCTCGACGTTCTGCTTCATTACATTTAGCTGGCATTTATTGTCTTTCTCTTTATGGTTGATACAGATATCGAGTCTTAGTCCTTTCGTAAATCTAAAAGCTTGTCTTGCAGCCTTCCTGAATTCCTTGCTCATGAATGACGAGACTATAGGATTTAACAGAGAATGAGAAAATGCTAACATACCCACGCAAAAAGAGAAAATGCCAAATGGGTCATAAAGCTTCATCACTGGAGTCACGTGTAATAGTTCAGCAAATGTTAGAGGTGTTAAACAAACGACGAAAACAATGACCACGACAAGAAGCATGCGAATGATGCTTCGTCTCATCTTGACAGCACTGCAAATGTCGAAACGGGATCTTTGACGAAATCTCTCCACCATATCGTATAGCTTCTTTGAAACTTGTCCATACGTGAAAATCATTATCGCGACAGGTATCAAATACAAGAAAATAAACAATGGTACATGGTACGCTAGAAAAACTACCAAGTAATCTTCTGGCCGTCTCTCCATGCATACCGTTCGTCGGTAAGACCATTCGGTTGAGCTAATATAGACCTGCGGCAGAGCTAAGAGGCATGCCGCAACCCAAACACCGAGTATAAGCTTCCGATTGCAGACGTTGAAATCGAGACATTTTTTGAACCGTATGGGCTTACATATTGCGTAGTATCTTTCAATACTGACAATTGTCAGGCTTATGATCACCACGTTATAAAATGTATGAAGGAGAAATCTGTGAGTTTTACACCAGCCGTCTCCAGCGTCCCAGAAATCATTCTTGAAGGCAAGCGCCTCCAGCGGGGTTTGCAACGCAAATAGTAAGTCTGCCACAATCATGTTGCATAGCAAGTTGTTGGTAACATTTCGCAATTCTTTTACTCGATAGAATACGAATAAGATAGCGGTGTCCACAATTACAGCGACCACCAGGAGCGCCAAATAGAAAATGAATGCAAAGAGACGAACCCGCATTGGCAGTTCGTCTATAAACGTCTCTGTTGAGGAGACGTCTCCATTTGCTGTCGATGAACTTGTCGAACTGTCGTTTCTCAAATCCATAGCTTTTTAGTTAAAATCAAAGGGGGCGTAAAATACTAATTAGTAAGTTCAACATCGACAAAATCAAAGAGTAAATATTTGTTATTTATAAGCTTGCCGATGAGCGAGTGTTTTTGAACGTAGCACTGTCTTTTCTCCTCAAGACTTACTCCATGACGTATGATAATCGTCGAATCCACCGGCAGAGAATAGTATAAAGTTCACTGATGAGCAGATAAAGTAAACTGACACTTTCAAACGCTGATTCAATGAACTCTCTAGGTTAAAAGAGTGTCTTTATGGCGAAATGAACGAAGCAGGTCATCTGCCAGTGGTACTGATCCTAAAGCTGGTAAAATTGCGGAGTCTGTTACTTTGGGTACCAAATGTCTGGCTTTTTCCGCAATACGTTCTCGAAAAATGTCCCTTCGACACTGTCTAGTGTGTCTAGTACTCGTTGAAATAAATATTGAAGGTATTGATAAATTATTCATCATACATGATTCAGCATTGTTTGCTTGGTTGATCATATGTCAAATAATTTATTTAGTAAGGCATATACTCAGTTGCGTAACAGTATAAGGTAAGTGAGAACTTTAAACTCTATTTTGCCATGAAATGGCGATGCAGGATATTTATTCTCTTTCAGTGCGCGTTTTTGGACGTAATAAACAAACGAAAACAATTTTTTCTCTCTTTTTTTGTGCCAAGTGCTTATATAAATAATTACCTCTTATCGCAAAATCAAAAACCCTAGTCAACCACAAAAATTCACTTCTTCGTATTCAAACGGTAGCGGTAAAAAAACAAAAACCAAAAGAAACAAAGAAATCAAATTGACTCTGATATTTTGAGAAATTTTCAGAAACTCTAAGCATAAGAAAATGACAATTATTATTATTTCACTTAAATTAAACATGATATTATTGTTAGAGCTCCTTTAACAATTTAACAAAGATGTGAGATTAGTTATGTAATATCAGCCTTATTTTGATTGGTGCAGGTAAGTGCTTCAGACACACCTAATGCGTCATTTGTTTGTTTTCATGTCAATACGCTTGTTTAAATATAACTTTTGTTGCACTGTATATTAAGCCTTTCGGAATCTATGGGTTAATTTTTACAAAGAATTAACGGCTCTATGTTTTTCTGGAAATTCTGATTTCTTCAAAGAGATCAGAAGCGAACAGTCGATTTTGTTTCGACAAAGTTAGACGTCAACATTGAACGCGCACTAGGATGAGGGTCAGACACATGGTCATCTGAATTCTCGAGTGTTTTTGAGAATGGATCACCGAAGCAGAAAATATGACAACAAAGAATAAACCCACAACATCCTATTAACGGTTGTAACCTCTTCCGCACAGATCTGTTGAACGTCATCGGGTGATCATCTGGATGGTTATAATTTTTCCTTCGGTCTTGAAACATTGTAGCTAGCAAATTTTGAAGCATTATCATTGCATTGACTCGTGGATTAGAATTTTCTTATTTTATTTAATTCAATTCAAAACATGTAGTTTATTTGCGTTACATCCTCATAAATTCAATCAACTTTTCCTCGATTAGATACAACACTTGTCAATCATCTAACGTCACCTCGCTACAAGTTAAATTAATACATTAATTGATTTTTCTCCCCCAGACTTGACCTTGGTTTAACCATAATTGAGTTTTTACACGTGCAAATTTTCACGGCGACGAGATTAATTGACTTACTGCGACCGTTAGTTCAACATTAAGAATCAATCATTTGCGGTTTCCTTAACAAGAAGTGGACAGTCAACACTCACTCTGATCCTCTTGGATGCAAGTCCAGTGATGATCTACTAAACTTCTTTTGACCCCTAAGCATTGTTTTGAGGCTGACAGTTTCAAGTAAATCACGTCACCGTTTCTTTTTATTTGAGTCATCTTTGTCACGTAGAAATAAAAAAGTAAGGGTCTTCGAGTAACAGTTGACCGAAAGAGAGGGAGCATGCATAAGAATGGAGATCGATTAAGAAAGATACATTGTTAATAAAAGAAGAACCTGAAAAATTATAAGAATAACAATAGTAACAATACTAATAATATCTATGATAACACCGATGTTAATAATAATAATGTAAAAAAAATGATAACCATGTTAATAATGAAAAAAGGATAATGATGAGAATAATGATAACACTAATAATTATAAGTAAGGGTAGTAGGACTGAGTGGATCCAATTCTGTCTGTAATCATACGAGTGTTACAAAATCAGACGAACACGCAGCGGGAGTGCGATTTGTTCATCTCGAGTATGATTACAGACCGAATTGGACGACACGAAGTCTTATTACCAATAAATCATAAAATTACAATTTCCGAGAAAAGAGGAATAGCCAGGTTATGAAAGAAAGAAAGGAAAATTTTGCATTAAAAGACTGACAAAGGAGGCTTAAATTGTTTAATTGATTAATTTAAACTACAACTTTGAATGTGATTGGCTAACGAGCTGTCCCATAACAACTTGGCTCATAAATTAGTGAAAAAATAGGAGATTTATGAAGCAATCACAATCGAGGAAATTGTAATTTTTGTGATTATAATGGTAACAACTACAATAGTGTTAATGAATAATAACAATAGTAATAATGATTATAAGGGTAGTAATAATTAAAATTACAGTATTGATCATAATGGTCGTTACTATGTAACAATAATGATGGAAATAACAATGATAATGATAATGACACTTATCAGGAGCCCATTATTGGCTCCTGTACTAATCATAGTTTTCAACATATAGTAGTTATATAATAAGACCGCCTCTTGACCTCGTAGAGTCTAGTTAATTTTATTTTATTGCGCATTGGGTTATTTGTACCTGGGTGGATATAAAATATGTCAATAAAGTTTTACGTTTTATTTAACAAATAATGATGAGTAATATTATATAAATAATAATAATCATAGTCATAACAATAATAACAATATGGAAAATGGGTATAGTAAGGTCAAAATTAATTTAGGCATCGATCCTGTCTCTTCTAGCTGAGAGACTGTACGTCGGGCTCAATGCAGACAAACGCAAAGAAGGGATGAAAAAAGAGAACACATTCGATGTGAACAATCTCGTAACCATTTTAAGGCGTTCCTATTTGAATCGCGAGAAACCAGCAAACGAGAAAAAGTTTTCATTTCGGCTCCAACAAGTGTATTAACACACTAATCTAACTTGCATTGACATAATCATATGATTTGCCCATATCTACATAATTTACACACTTACACACATGATTAAGCTTCATTTCAAGGAAAGTGTGTATCTGTGTGACAGCCGCTCTTTTTATAGTTTAACTGAGGCTGTAACACACATATCATCCTCTACTGACAAACAATTCTTTCACATTATAATTGAGACATAAATGTGAACGCACCTCTATACTCTTTCATACACAGGACTGGCAAACGAAAATTAATATTGGAGAAGAAGGAATAAATTAAGGGTTGAAAAACAAGGGAGGGGAATTGTATTTTTTTTTCCTGAAAGGGTGATGTTGCTTAAGTCCCTGAAAAAATTCCAAACCTGGAGGCTTGAAAACACTGATCCTAAGTTCATTGCACCAAGTTAAATGGGTTCGGCATCCCAGCTTAAGTGTTTTATTTACTTTTTTTCTTTTGCAAGATCTCGCCCACTAATTTTATTTAGGTCACCTATAAAGTTTATAATTACTGCTGCTTTTTGCATAGAAATATTTTTTTAAATCGATGATTGCTTTTAATACATATGTAATTAGCGCCACACAGATCCAATTCAGCCTTGTGTTCGCGTAAAATCAATAGTATATTATAGCAAATTACCTTAAAACTATTGAATTAAGAGATATCAATATACTAAGACAGTAAATTCTCGCCAAAAAGGCTATTTTATCACTATTACCAAAATCAGGAATAAATTTTTTTTTCGATCATTCGTCAATTAGAGCAACACTTTGCCTGTAGTTTTGTTTTTAGCGCTCACAAACAACTAGTAACTTCTTTCGGAGATAGAAGAGGACTTTCCTCAGTTGCTGAAATGATCGACATCTTCTCTAACGAGTAACAGAAAAAAAAACATTTCTTTAACAATGGAAAAAACTGTCGTTTCAATTTAACTAGAACTTTGTTTGTGCCTAAGAGGGGTCTGTTGTGTGTTGCTTCTACGCATCAAAGGAAAAAGGATTCTCCTCCGCACCGGCTTAAGGCGCCATCGACAATGCATGCATTTGAAAACTTGCCCTGTGCACCCAAAGCAGTGATGAACCGACCCGTACACTAACGGATTAATCACATGGGTCACCAGCACAAGATTGACGCAGAGAGAGAAGAGCCAAGTGAACTTGGAAGTAAGAACTTCCCAGGAATCGTAAAAGAAAACACGGATGAAATGGAACACGTGGATTGGGAGGTGAAACAAAGCGAAGATCGCAATGATGGTGACCATTTTGCGAACGGCGCATCTACGCTTCTTCTCAACTGCTAAGCGTGCAGAAGGAAAATTTTCTCGGTCAATTGCGCTCAACTTTCTGATGATTTTTGCATAGAGAACACTAATAAGAAATAGCGGGATCAAATACAAAATGACCGCGTCAATTGGTTGGAGGAATATCTCTACATTTGAATGCGGCCATTCCAGACCGCAAATGTGTTTGTCTTCATTTATATCAATATCTTCCTTTGGCCCAACATCATCTGGCGAGATATCCTGAGTTTCAAGATCTTCAAATGTATCAATTTGTATGGTCTTGAGGTAGATCAGTTGTGGTATGCAGAGAGAAATAGCAGCAACCCAAATAATGATAATGAGATACTTAACCGTTCTTTTCTTGATTGGGTCAGAGAATGTGATGAGGTACCTCTCCATAGCGATGGCTGTCAAAGTCGCCAACGAAGCATACATGGAAATGTGCGTCAGCGAGAAGACAGTTTTGCAAAGGAAGTTGCCGAAGGGCCAAACAAAATCAAATGCCTCGTATGCCATGTAGAATGGAACATATACTGCGAGCACCAGCAGATCAGCTACGGCTAAGTTGATAAGGAACGGCATCACGGGTGACAAGAATCCTCCACTTTTCCTCCAGACGAAAAATATGGCCGATACGTTGGCTGGGATGCCGAGAATGAGGAAAATCATGTTTATAATCATCTGGATGGAGAATGAGGAGCTGCTGTCATCTGCTGATTGCAGAGTTGGTTCTGTTTCCGATGAGACTGCTTCAAACGATGTTGAATCCATGATTACTGCCTTTGCAAATGCTTCGTTTGTCCTGGCTCTACCACAAAGGAAACACCCCTTTGTAATTTTGATGTAAATTGATAATTTTTTTCTTAGAGTTAAAGTACAATGCTGTCTGAGAATACTATATTGAAAACGAAGCCAATATATATTGCAGGCACTTTTGGCATTACCCACTTACTTCTGTTAAGAAGAATTTAAAAAGTTATTTTTCATTTTTTTGTGATCAATTGGCATGCCCTGAAGATCCTCTCGAGTGTAGATGTGTTCTTATTTTTGTTTTTCTCCTGCTAGACTAAATCGCGATTTTCCGATAGAATTTCGTTCATGGAAAACAATGGTCTGAAGAATATTCCCACAGTTAACGTAGCGCGGAAAAAAATGATCCTCCAGTCGGGTACTCGTTCAGATATGTTGGTAGTTTTAATGAGTTTTCTTTGCTGTCAGTCCAGAAGGTGTTACATAAAAGCTTGGTCAGTGAAAGTGAGGGCTTATCTCGGCCGAAAAAAAAAAAGGCAAAGAAAGTTTGTAAGCGTTTGTCAAATGCCCGAGAAAGAAAAATGTGATCCCCTGAGTGAAATTTTAACTCCGCCTTGTTCTGCTCTAGGGGCCATTTTGCTCTACACACTGAGCTTCAGAGGGCCGAGTCATTTACTAGCGATGTCAATTAACAAAGATAGGAAAAAAGTTACATTTCGTTTACTTTACCTTTCCTTTTTCGGTTAAGTTGGCCCTTAACCAGGATAAGCCTGTCCTTATTTGATCGGGTTGTTCGATTTACTTGAAATGCGCTTCAAGGAAGACTGGCAATATTACAGGCGATACGCATTTGTGATAGTGGTGTGTTTTGCAAAGAAAGTGTGAATTAATTTCTGTAAGTTTTAGGTGACAAAGAGATATTTCAAAGATAGGAAATGGTGATCAAACAATGATCAGGAATTAGGGAAGGATTAGGCTTCTAATTGAGAATCATTCACTACCAGGCAGAAGATGGCAGAGTGAAAGGTTTAAGTTGGATTCGATTCTTTTCATATTGCAGTCGAAACCATTTTAAAACGAAAATTATGCACATATTATGAATACTTCATGTGATTATCTGTAATTTTTATACTTTTTTTTTTCTTAAAAACCAAATTAAATAAACAATGTGTCTGATAAGCCTCCACATGTTCATGTTCTTTTGGCAAGAAAATCATGATTAAATTATAATTTTCAAAAGCCAAATTTTTATAAAAAGGCACAAACTGGAGAAAGTGTTCGCACAAAAAGGCTAGTAAGGACTTTTTTCGCCTCTTACACGCTACGTTGCATGTTCTTCGGTGAGTTAATGAAAAAAAAAAAAAGGAGACGAAAACGTCTGCCTTTTGTCTCAAGTAATCACATTCACTCCCACGTTTTTATTTCCAGCGCAGGTAAGTGGTAAATTCAAAGGCATGCTTGTATGTTGATAATCAAAGTGCATTAAAACATAATGGGGGTAAGCTTCTAAAGAAACTATGGTGTTACGTCGGTGAGGGGTAGAAGAAGATAATTTAGTTTTTATAAATTAAGTTGATCATGCAAATTGGTAACAGTAAATAGTTTCTAATGATGACTTTTCGTGCGTTAACCTTCGTCATTCGCTCTGACGGAGGGTTAACGCTCGAAACGTCAGCTTTCTAAACTCTTTACTGTGCCCAATTTACTTTATCAACTCAGTTGATGAAAGCCAAATTGCATTGTGTTAAAACCAGACAGACGATGACGGAGTGAAAGGTTAACGAGGGATTTCACTCATTTTAATTAGGATTGCTACCTTACTCCGACGTCCAATTAAGACGAGTTGGTGAATACTTCACATCTGATTAGTTGGCCATTGCTTTCTTAACTGAACAAACAAGGAAACAATAGGCAATAAATGTGTCTGACTTGCCGCCGTATATTTGCTCCATGTTGACAATATGCTATTGCAATGTTTTCAGAGGAGAATATTTTGGTGCTAAGTTTGGGAAATACATACCTAGAAACTAGAGGTACATGACGGATGCAGGTGTTTAAAAAGAATCTTTCCTGTTTTAAAAACGCAAATTTGCATCACCTATCAAGCTGAATTGTATGATTTTCAACGAGCTTCAGTTGGACTTAAGAGAGAATTTAGGCTCCTCCATTTTGTTGGAGATGCTACTGTGATAACATCACTTTTAGAAAGGGTCCTCACCATGCAGGCTTTGACACTTCTTCGTGTTTATTTGAAGAAATCCACTCAAAGGGCAGATGACACCATTCATTCTAGTTCTAATGAAATCTAAATTACAGTTCTGGTTTATTCTACAGCGAGAAAAAATATAAAGTTGGTGCCACGCCTTTGGCTAAATACTTCCCACACGCTTGAATATCTTTTTGAATATCACTTTGAAAATCTTCTCCCTCCACTCCTGAACATCTTTTTTTTCACATACAAACCAACATATGAATATTTCTTTCTCTATCGCTTACATCTTTTTCGATGCTCTGTATGTCATAGTCGAATGATAAGATTTAAACTATTCTCATAATGATTATAAATTGTCCATTAGACTACTTTACTAAATAATTTCTTATTTTCAGTAAGATTAGACAGTACGTAAAGCTTATATGGTAGAATAGTCCGAAACTTATAATCATTAAATTCTCTTGTTTCCTCCTTTTCAGTCCTTTATCGGTTGCTTAAGTTCGACTGGCTCATGAACAAGTTAGACATCTATTCCCCTTCTTGATTTCACCTCTTAAAATTAATGGCAACAAATTCATGTCATACGTGGTCGGAAGCAGTGTTGAACAGCGTTTGTGTATTCTTCCGATAGTCAAATAACAAATCCAGCTTTACATCATCACTGCAGGTGTAAACCCTCTTTTATTCGTTGAGACTGATTTTCACTAGCGACGGAGTCAAGTCAGATTCGTAAGAGCGATTCCGACGTGGTGAAAACTGAAAATAGGAGTCGTAAGCAGAGTCATAAGCTCGACTGAATCGAAGTCAGAAGAATCAGAACGGTCTGATTTTCATCCGATTCCGCTTGTGACTCCGACATTTTTGATCTGGTGAAATCTGGATTATCGGAGTCGCAAGCAGAAGCGGAAGAACTAGCCAATCGCAACGCCAGTTCTCAGGCCCTTCCCGTACAATCTTCCGCTTGCCAATCCGACTCTTCAATTTTCATAGCATCGAAAGCAGCATTCGATTCCGTGAGTTTGATTTTCACTTGATCGTTTCACGCAGCACTCCTGATTACGACCCCGACTCCGTCGTAAGTAAAAACCAATTTTTAGAATATTGCAACGCGACGCTGTCTAACTATCGCAGAGGAACCAAACAATACTTCTACGCAATACATGCTTTCACGTAAACATTAAAAGGAAAGGACCTCCAAAGCTAACCTTTAACCTCCAGAAGTGATTGATGTGTAAATTCTGCTCGAAATTTTCAAACACTATCTAGCACAGGCAATCAGAATAAACAAATAAAAGATGTATACCAACTAAAGAGTGATATTATCTTGATGTAATGGAAACAAATGGCAGTCACAACAGTTAATTAGTAATCGCATCTTGGAAGTAAAAGGGTTACCAGAGATTGTTTAATAGTTTACATATATCCCACAAAGAAAACTAAGAAAAAGATCAATCAAGAATAGAGACTCAAGAGGAATTTTTCTAGTTAATCTTTTCTGTTTTTTTCTCTCTTTAGTTCCTCTTCTCCTTCTTCCTCTCCTCTCCTGGAAAGTTTTGTGATAATATTCTAAGTATACAACAATAGAAAGGGAGCAACCACTCTTGCCAGAGAAAGCGATTATCGATTATGGAACAAATTTCCAAGATAACACTTGTGCATGAGAACGTCAATTGCTGAAAATTCGCTTGAAACTTTGTTACCACTAAGTTTTCTCGAACATGTGCCACTTTCTAGTGGTTTCCTCTGAAGGATGTTTCTGATATTTGAGATTTCGAAATCGTGTACAATTAAAAAATCACTTAAAACACAGTTCGAAAGCGAACCTCGGGGGAAATTGGCTGCTGAAACGCATTCTGCTGGCAAGGACAGTAACAACAACTGAACGGTATTACAACTAACTTGGCTAAGATTTTTAACTACACTTTTCCCACACCATCTTTAAAATTACGTTATACGCATTTAGATCTTCTGCCATACATATTTGACCATTTCCTCCAGATCTGTGCCGTAGTAGTATAATATTGTCAGTAGCAGAAGGGTGATAACTGCAAGCCTTTGACCCACGACGAATTTCTCGATCGATTTTTGACAGCTCCTTTGACAAGGTTTTATAGTTGCAATCCACTTTGGCTAGTTAGGCATGCAGGTTACAGTTGCCATGGTAAACCAAAGATTTCCTGCTAGGCACACGCCAGTGTCAGCTCCGCCCTTCATATTGGAATTTCCATTTGTGGACATCAAATAAACCAACTTTAACCAATAAGTAAAATGTATTTCCGAGAAGAAAACTCATCTCCGTAAAATAATATAAAGAAATGGGTGAATTGGAGAGTTCAAGTTCGAGAAATATTCAAGCCATGAAGACAACGAAAACGACGAAGAAGATGATGAGAACGCAGAATATTTTTATAATTAACCACCTATTTGAGGTCACTGACTGAAAATACTTCAACAGTTCGCCATGTGCGGCCTCAACATTTAGTTCTGTTTCTTCAACATTGGCATCAATCCTGAAAGAAGATAATGGATCATCAGAATTACAGTAACTACGCATTGACAAGTAGACTGACTTTCAAAGTGAGATACGACTTCTCATTAATGCACGTATGGAGTTTTCAGCATGCTCATCAAACATCTTTCCATACACCTGAAAATACAAGCATGCTCCTACCTCTGTACAATTTCAGTAAGGTTTAAAATAAAAGTGTCCCATACATTTGAAAGGAAAAGAATCCTGTTTGCGACAACAACTTCGTTTACAAACAACCTTTGCTTGAATTTTAGTTTTAGCTTTGTATCAGATTGATTGATAGGGTAGCACAAGTTTCCTCGACCAATAACACAGCAAAGTAAACCAAAAACGAAACAATAACGGATCAACCTATGTTGGAATTGTTCTGACCAAACAAAATTCGGATCAATCTATGTTGCAATTTTCCACACAAAACAAAATTCGGATCAACCTATGTTGCAATTGTCCTGACAGAACAAAATTCGGATCAACCTATGTTGCAATTTTCTACACAAAACAAACTTCGGATCAACCTATGTTGCAATTGTCCTGACAGAACAAAATTCGGATCAACCTATGTTGCAATTTTCCACACAAAGCAAAATTCGGATCAACTTCTGTTGGCATTTTCCAGACAAACAAAATTCGGATCAACCTATGTTGCAATTTTCCAGACAAAACAAAATTCGGATTAACCTATGTTGCAATTTTCCACACAAAGCAAAATTCGGATCAACTTCTGTTGGCATTTTCCAGACAAACAAAATTCGAATCAAGCTATATTGCAATTGTTCTGACAAAACAAAATTCGGACCAACCTATGTTGCAATTTTCCACACAAAACAAAATTCGGATTAACCTATGTTGCAATTTTCCACACAAAACAAAATTCGGATCAACCTGTGTTGGAACAACCAAAAAAAAATTCAAATCAAGCTATATTGCAATTGTTCTGACAGAACAAAATTCGGATCAACCTTTGTTGCAATTTTCAACACAAAACAAAATTCGGATTAACCTGTGTTGCAATTTTCCACACAAAACAAAATTCGGATCAACCTGTGTTGGAATTTTCCACACAAAACAAAATTCCAACCTATGTTGCAATTTTCCACACAAAATAAAATTCGGATCAACCTCTGTTGGACTTTTTTCTACAAAAAAAAATTTGGATCAAGCTATATTGCAATTGTCTTGACAAAACAAAATTCGGATCGACCTATATTGCAATTTTCCACACAAAACAAAATGCGGATCAACCTCTGTTGGATTTTTTTATAAAAAAAGAAAAAAATTCGGATCAAGCTATATTGCAATTCTCCATACAGAACAAAATTTAGATCAACCTATGTTGTAATTTTCCACACAAAACAAAATTCGGATTAACCTATGTTGCAATTTTCCACACAAAACAAAATTCGGATCAACCTATGTTGGACTTTTTCTACACAAAACAAAATTCGAATCAACCTATGTTGCAATTTTCCTCACAAAACAAAATTCGGATCAACCTGTGTTGGAATTTTCCACACAAAACAAAATTCCAACCTATGTTGCAATTTTCCACACAACATAAAATTCGGATCAACCTCTGTTGGACTTTTTTCTACAAAAAAAAATTTGGATCAAGCTATATTGCAATTGTCTTGACAAAACAAAATTCGGATCAACCTATATTGCAATTTTCCACACAAAACAAAATGCGGATCAACCTCTGTTGGATTTTTTTATAAAAAAAGAAAAAAATTCGGATCAAGCTATATTGCAATTCTCCATACAGAACAAAATTTAGATTAACCTATGTTGTAATTTTCCACACAAAACAAAATTCGGATTAACCTATGTTGCAATTTTCCACACAAAACAAAATTCGGATCAACCTATGTTGGACTTTTTCTACACAAAACAAAATTCGAATCAACCTATGTTGCAATTTTCCTCACAAAACAAAATTCGGATCAACCTATGTTGGACTTTTTCACACAAAACAAAATTCGGATCAACCTATGTTGCAATTTTCCACACAAAACAAAATTCGAGAAACGTGCCCTCGTATGTGAGGAGCTGTTTCAGCCGAGACTCGTAAGTACATTTCTAATCATTTTAGGCAGCCAAGACAGAACTCCCTTCTCTAAAAGCAATAACGGATAACGATCGACACTGAAAAAGGGTCTTTAAAAAGCGATCGATTAATACATGGAAGGAAATATATTAAAGTTCACACGGCAACCAGGTGGACAATCAGACAGTTTGAACACGAAAGGAGTTTTCATAGTTTGAACAAGGAAGGAGTTTTCAACATGCTCAACCAACATCTCGCCATACACCGGAAAATACATGCATGCTCTTCCCTCTGTGCAGTTTCAGTCAGGTTTAAAATAAAAATAAGTCACAACATTTAAAAGGAAAAGAATCCTGTTTGCGACAACGACTTCGTTTACAAACAACCTTTGCTTGAGATCTCGAGAGAAAAAAGCCTCGAGAGATGAGGCTCGCATGTCTCGACGAGGACCTGCTTCAGCCGAAACTCATACACATCATTATGAGCATGCCAAGACAGAAAGAACTTCCTTATCTCAAATCGAAAGATCGCTTACTTTCATGATTTCGTCAAGAACCAAATTTTCAGATGTTTTAATAAATATATCAATAACTTCCGAACCTTTCAATCTGTTCCTCCTGTTCTTTTACCATGTGAGCGAGCTCTTGAAATATGCTTCCAAGTTCAACAATCGTTGATTCAATGTTCTCCATTGCATTCGCCCGGCTTTGTATGTACTCGTCCTGTTAGACAATTAAGAGAAGGAAAAAAAAAAAAGGATTACACTGAGCCAAATAATTCTCTACACTAAACCAGTCACAATATATGTAGTCAGTACACAGTTGACAGGGTTCGATCGCCGAGACAGTTGAAAAGTCAATAACCCAGATATGACACTAATACATGTATGGTGCTTGGATCTAAAAATACCACGAAAACTTTTCGTGATATTTTTAGATCCAAGCAATGTATATGTTAAATTTTGGGATTGACTGTATTGCGAATGAGTGACAACGTCGGCGATGCATTTTTAACGCTAAGCAAAAGAAATGAAGAGAAAACAGCACATCTTCAGATTACGAAAAGACGTTTTATCACCTACCAGTACGATTCAAGCCCAATTATGCATGTAGCTAACCCTAAGCCACACCAGACACTTAGGTAATTTCCCAAGTGACGTAGGGAGCATTTACCGAAAGACACGTGTGCGAGAAAAGCGTAGTACAAATGTCAGATTTAGAGCAGTCAAAGTTGTCTGGTTAGTTTTTAACTAAAATGGAGTATCTTTTCTTATATTCCTTAAGATAGGAGCAGTCCATTACCCTCGTTGCTCGACAAAGGTAATTCGTAGCTCAGTTTCGTTCCGTTTTTATCATGCTTCATAAAACGTTCTTTTGTATGTTTTGTCGCAACAAGCCGACTAGCAAACGGTTTGTTTTCTCATCGAATTTTTGCCATGTATTGCTTTCTAGTTTTACGGTTCTGCATCCTGTTATGGCAATTAAATATGTTGTAACTCTGTCAGCTATGTATTCGTGAATTGATTGGATCGAATTTGGATCTAGTTGTCGTCGAAGGGACACCGGTAAAAATGCATGCAATAATGAAAATGGCGAGTTTGATAAGAGTTCCGAATTCAGTTGGAGCAAAGGTTACGTTCGCTTTCGCCATGGTTTTTGGCGAAACACTTTGTGGACGCTTCCTTCTTAAGTTTTGGCGAAAGCGCACGCGTTTACCATGCATGGGGCCTACAGAAAGCTTACATACTCTTTCACCAGTGGTTTTGGCGAATGTTTTAGTTGCCCAAGCGTTTTGGCGAAAGATTTTACACATTTTCACAACGGGTGTTGGCGAACTCTTTGCTCACTTTCGCCAAAGCTTTTGGCGAAACCACTTGCTCGCTTGCACTTTAAGTCTTGGCGAAAGCTGTTAGGCGAACAATTTTGCTATTGGTTTTGGCCTAAGCTATAGTAGGTCCACTATGTTGACGAATGCCACATTAATAAACAAAAACGCTAAGCCCAAATCACCATATTCGTCAAACGCACGGCATTTAAAGGTTTGGGCGAGTTTCACAGATGTGACGACTTCGGAATATTTTCGTCAAATTCATCTTTTTTTCTTTTTACTCGTTTCGTTCTCCTTAAAGATCAAATCTTTGAATATTTTATCGCAATGGTGAAACTTTAGGAGTTGGTTCAAAAAAGAGCATGTTATAAGAGAATCATACTCAGCCTATACTGTGAGAGAGAAAAGGGTCAAAATCTATTCAACAACCGTGAAACTCTGACCTCCTTTTGAGGGGTATTCAGCGCATTTTATGGCCCCTCCTCTTAATTGAATAAATCATACAAAACTGGCTAATTGTGAAGAACACCTCCTTGAAAAAAACCTGTCAGCCGACAGGCAGCCTTCAGTTGCTCGAATGTCGGCCAACAGGTTTTCCAGGGTGCTGCTGTTTCCTTCACCATTATCCAATATTATGGTCATCGTTTCTAACCTGTTGTTCAACCAGCTGCATTTGGCTCATATCATTAGACACTAGGGGCGCGGAATCCATGTGATCCATATCTATGGCCACTGCTGAGTCACCACCTTGTCCCAAGCCCCTAGCTACATTAGATCTCTGCAGTACAGAGCCTGATAATGAAGATGGAGGTAGGCTGTCCACTGCAGCACCTTGGGAGAACTGCTCTCTTCTCTCTTTCTGCTGTTTCAGATTCTACATGAATAAAAGGAAACAATAATAAGCCAGGAATCGATGTGGATTGTACATGTACCGTAACTATGTGCTTATAAATCTTTCCACCCCCACAAATAGTGGAATAGTAAATGTACCTTTTCCTCACATTGTCCACTTGTTATCCATCAAGCAGGTGATAAGAAAAACCAAATTTAAGCTAGATTATTTTCATCCTTGCATTGAATGAAACCGCCAATAAAATCTTGTAGCTACGTGTGGCAGCAACAGTTACAAAGAGAACGCAGAGCTAATGCACATGTACCAAATGCAGAGCCACCTCCATCTTCACTTGTACATGTACATGTATCCTTAAATTCGAATACAAAATATACGTGTAAAACTAGTTCACATTGCAAAAAAAGTCTTCCTCTCAGAAATCACGGTTTGCAATGTTTTTGTTTTCAAGATTAAATCTTAAAACAAAAACAACCATAATGTGAATAAACCTGTCCCAATAACATGCCACTGGGTCATCAATCTACACATGTGAATATTCAAAAGGTACATTCACTATGCAAGTGAGGATATTATGAAAATTTTGGTGGTTCATCAATGTCCATATAATAATTTGTGTAAACCTAAACTGGTTCTATTAGGCTAAAACTGACTTAAATTGAACCTTCCCACCAAGAAGAGCATCCAAGCTTAATTCAGATTAAAAACTTGGTATAACTGGAGAAAAACAAGTCTTTGAGAGGCTTTAAAGAGAGACCTCAGTATGGTACATTGTAACTTGTAGCATTAAACAAAAAGAAATTCATGATATTTACCTCGGTTCTTACTTCCAGGACACCTTTGAAGTCCTTTGACATTCTTGCTAGTTTTGACTGCAATGATGATAAACTTTTTTTGGTTACATAAGATTGATTAATGGTACATTGTCAAACAATTTCCCCATATCTCACCAAAAAAAGTGTTATTACTGTAAGTATTGGACAAAGTTACAGATTCTATTATTAAACATGTTTCTACACTGCAAATCTGAAATTTTAGATGCCAAATGACTGACAGAGCTTCTGGCCTAGTTTTCATGACCAAAGCAAGCACAAATGCTATCATACATACAATTTATGTTACAGTTTTTTTAGTTTTGGATCAACTAATAATCCCCTAGTTGATGCATAAATTTTATTGTCATCACTTATCTGCTTGATTTTGTTTTGGTATATTAAGGAGAAATTCTGTTTTGGTCACACATGGGAGTTAATGAGCTAACCCTTTAACTCCAAAGATCTGATTGGTAATTCTCCCCTCTAGCTGCTACACATATTTTTAAAATTAATTATGAGAATTTGGTGCTAGATCAAGATGACAACTTTTACCTGATAAGTTTGAATATTCTCGTTAGCTGTTTGCTGGATAATGTAAGGGAGAAGTTTTGTGTTGACCACTTCTGGGAGTTAACCCTTTCACTCCCACAAGTGACCAAGACAGAATTTCTCCTTACAATATCAATACAATATCAAGCAGGCAGGTGATGAGAATATAGAAGAATATCAATCATGGGATTATTAGTTGATCCAATACCAAATTCTCTGAACTAACATCATAAGAATTGTATGGCAGATAGTAAGGAGAATTCCTCATTAGATCTTGGGAGTGAAAGGATTAAAGGGTTAAAGGAAGGTTGGCATTTCAAATGTAGCTTTCAGTGAATTTTTTAAGGATTGTACACTTTGGTTTTCTAAGTAAGAATCTACAGCCTAGGGGTTGGTACACATTCTTTCTCCCACAAGAACTAGCAGGGTACAGGAACCTAGAGGGCCCTGAATATACCTAGACACCCATCATACATTTTAGAGTGTTATCTGGCTAAATAGCTGGAGGATTCTGACTGTACATACCTGAAGTGATAGTACTACTGTACTTGAGTGGGTCTGTAGATGCCTCCCTTGAGTGCTAGCCTTAGATTTCACCAGCTAAAAGAAAAAAATTCACATTAAAGCACCATTAATTTGCTTTTACAGCTGAAGGTGACCTTAAACCTTTAAAAGAAGCTCTCACTGGAAATAAGGTTTAACACCACTCAACAGCAAGAAATACAGTGTGTAAGAGCTTTTGCGTATAAAAAAGAGCTCCTTTAGGAGGTACATGCATCAAACTTACAAAGCAATAATCAACTTTACCTTTGTGATATTCTTGTTAATTTCAATTACAGACTTACACATTTTCGACAAATAGCATTAATCAAAGCAAATTAGCAGCATGTTTTCCAGATGTACACACAGATAAGCTGCACCCCTGATGTTGTTGTGTTAATAGGAATGTTAATTTTTTTTAAATACAAAATCAGTACTAGTAACCACTATAAGTGAAATCTGCATCTGGTATAGTTTTTCAGGGAAAATATATATTATTTATCTTATCTTGTTCCCTATCATGCAGCAATCTACATGTATATGTCTACATGACTGTACATCTACATCTACATCTACATCTACATCTATACATTAACCCAGCTATAAGTAGAGTAATATCTGTTAACAATGTTGAACACTTGGACTATAAATGTATCATGGAACGATTTGACAAAGCACAACAACAACATGACTGCACACTCTTTCCCACAGAATTTGCAGTACCACACATAACAATGAGGTAAGTGCAGGTGTTGAACATAGATTAGACATGCAAAATTAGTTAATGTAATGTGAAATAACCTCTTGTAATTGGGCAATCTGCTGGTTTAAACCAGTAATATCCTGTTTTATTATGTAGGTCAGTTCCTGGATTTCCATGGGTCTGTCATCAAACAATGATTTCTTCTTGGCCACTAGCATAGAAAAGAGAAGGAAAATGCATCAAATACACACTATTACCTTGCATGGGTAAGTGTAACTAATAAATTTAATTTTCTCATGTATCTGTTCCATAATACATTGATATATAAATCACAGACGTCATCAAAATGTGGTACAATTTAAAGTCATCTGTGACTACAGATGTATACAGCTCTAGGTGGCATGCAAGCTGCAGGCAAGTTTGTACTCGATGTTTTTGCCACATTGTGATGTCTCCAACAGTCTACATATTCTAATGAACAGATGTGCAACAACATTAAATCTATTTGTTTTAATATAAAAAAGAAGCAAAATGTTGTTGCTGGTGACATCAACACTGGCCTTGTCCTCCAATAGATAACAAATATAAAACACTCAAAAACCATGTATAAAAATTAATAAGCTTATTGTAAATTACTCAACCACAATTCATAACTCACCTCAGTGTCCGTGGACATTTACACTCTACCTTGCAGTGCACCTTTAATGCTGTCCCTTGTTTATTATAATTATAGTATACAAGTACACAATATCTAATAGTACAGACTACTACACTCCCTGTAACTAAACTAATGGCAGTGTCTATGTGTTGATCATACAAACTCATCATGTTGCCACATGTACATGAAAAACAATATTATGTTCATGAACACTACTATCACAAAAAAATTGTTCACTTATAAGTTATGCAAGGCACATTATCAGGTTTTCTCTATGAAAAAAAAGGTCATGTCCGATAGCTCAGGGCTAGTGGATTTTGTCATCAGACTAGTGAATTCTGTGCTTTACTTGCCCAAAGGGCAAGTGAAGATTTTGGGAGAATTACAATTACAGAAGTACTGCAAGACAAATGTTTTCAATTCCTAATAAATTCATGCAGACCGAAAAACCACTCGGATGAAGTGAAATCTGCATAAACAAGACTAGGTATCGCATTACATGTCAGACAAGACATACTGAGATTTTGCGCATAAAGTAAAAGCAGGTATTGAAAAAAACTTTGGAGGTAAATGTTGCCCATGACTAATTCATACTAGGTCAGATAAACCTATTAAATTTTTTCTACATTTTGCTTCATAATCATTTGTGAGGAACATAAACAAAAGGTTTTGATCCTGAACTCCAGTGAGAAATTTATTATGGTTTTAGAAATTGGTAAAATGCTTTTTAACCCTTTAACTCCCATGAGTGACCAGGACAGAATTTTTCCCTACAATATCCATACAATATCAACCAGATAAGTGATAAGAATAAAGACAAATATCAACTTGGGGATAATTAGTTGATCAAATACTAAATTCTCTGAGTTAACATTACAAGAATTGTATGGTTGACAGTAGGAAGAATTACAAATTTGATCTGAGAGTTAAAGGGTTAATATGGTAAATTCTAAACGTAGGTGTTTGTTGATTAAAATATCTAGACCACATTGTAATGTTTTCACTTTTCAGGAAAATCTTTCAGAGGAAAAGTTGCCAGAAATGAAACAAACATTTTTGTTCTTTTGAAACCTAAAATCTTTGCTTACTTGTATTGAGATGAACCATAAATTCCCATAATTTTTGTTTGCATAATTTGTTCAGTGATGTGTGACTCGGCACTTGCACTTTCCACTTTTGCATGAACTTGAAACCTGACTTGGAAAACTGTCTCCCAAACAAACCTTCTTCAGAAAATGATTTTCTGAATGCACTACTTTTGAATGAGAAGCAAACTGATGAAAGCTATCAAATTTTTATTCCCTTTAATAATATAAAATTTAAAATCTCCCCCGTTAGCTACTAAGAAATACTTTGGCTAAAAATTTTTTTTTGGCAGCAAATTGGAGAATGAAGTGCTTTCACTAGCAGCTTTTCTTGTTGTGAGCATTGTCATTTAGTGTGTCCATTGAGAGCTTTGGTTTCACAGTTTCAATGCCGTTTTTTCCTTGAAAAATGTATTTTTAAATTCTAAAAATTAATGTCTAAAATGCATGTCTAAAAATTTTCTGGGCTAGTAAAAATGACTTTCAGGCTAGTAGATGTTAGTTACAAACCAAAGCTCTTTGCACTCTGCTACAGCTGTATAATTAAGATGCATTATACCTTATTCATTACTGAATAACAGTTCAGGTCACCACACTGTAAGGTCAGTACATGTATTTATTCATTTGGTGTTGGCATAACTTACAACATTCTAATAATTATATCAGAATTCTAACAGTTTTCACAATTTTTAAGTATTAAGTACAATGTACATGCATGTTCTGTATGTCATTAGACTGAAATAAATTAAAATAGAAATGGCAAAAAAAATTCCTTTAAACTTACAGATGGCAAGCTTTTCCAGTTTAGCAAAAGTATTGCTGATATCCTTTCCAATGTGCCTAAATATGAGAAGGGAATGTAAATGTAATGGAAAATAATAAATAAAGGGATAAGTTTCTAAAGAAACTGTGGTGCTGCGTCGGTGGGAGGGTATAGCAGGTAATTTAGTGCTAACAACTGGGTTGAAAACATAAATTAGCCACCGTAAAGGGTAAAAAAAGCTGATGTTTCGAGCGTTAGCCCTTCATAAAAATTTTTAGCATACATGACAACAATTTTTGAAGGATACCATCGCTCTGATGAAGGGCTAACACTCGAAACGTCAGCTTTTTTTACCCTTTACCGAGGCTAATTTATGTTTTCAACCCAGTTGTTAACACTAAATTACCTGGAAAATAATAAAGCTCAGCAACCTAGCTATGCATAAACAGCAATAAGTATTTAACTCAAATGTTAGAGAGCCTCTCCTCTTCTCAGTCCTCAGTTCACATTGTCGACTCACTGAGTTTCTTTTCAAACCATTTTTCCATTGAGTATATCAAAAAGGCAGAGGGTGCAATTTGAGATTGCTGTGGTTTTAGCCATTCTCTACACCAATCAGATAAAACACTAAATACAATTACACCTTGGTCATTTGCATTTTCCAGCACTTCAAGCAGTTTGCTTGTTTCAAATTTGAGTTCTCATTGGCTAATCATAATGTTACCCTTTGTTCTGATTGGTTACTGGGATAACTTAGATTTTGGGTTTCTAGATACTCAAACAAACACTGCCCTTACTAATGAATTACTACGCATCAACTGTTTGCCCAAAGCTACTTACTTTTTGAATAGAATTCTGGGATATCATTAGTATCTACCACCGGGTTAGAGAGATTTTTTTAGTGACATAGTGGCATCTGTAGTAAAATTTTTAGCATACATGACAACAATTTTTGAAGGATTGCATGTAGGTTACTCTTTGGAATTTCAAAACCCTGGGCTCCACTTACTTCACCCTACAAGTGTTCACTTGGTAGTGTAAATTAAATCATATGGTTTCAAGGGATCTGGTAAGCATTGAGGGATAGTATAAAAAGGACACAGAGCTAGCTTTCACATGCAACACACCAGGAATAAAACAGACATGGCAACAGCAATGAATTTCTACCCACTGCACATTCTGGAAAAGTCCACTCTTCATTTCATTCCCACTCTACATGCACAGTTGCATTTTTTTCATTTTTCGTCTTTTTTTTCTTTTTTATCACAGCAGTACACCAATCACATTTACTCTACTTACTTGAGTAAGTGTCCACAGTCTGGTAAGTGCCCTCCCCTCTCAATTAAACGTCCCCCTTCCCTCCCCTTTCTCTACATGTATTGTACAAAAATATTAAGTCTGATATCAATCAAACAGGAATTCCCATACCAGGGCATGAAACTGCACCTAATACAGGTGCCAATGTGACTAAATTTTTCACTTTGACAACCAAATCCTGAAAATTAGTCGCCAAATTGGTGACTAGAATGTTTCATCACAACCTTACCTAGAAATATAGTGAATTAAAAAGATTTGCAAAGATAAATCTGTGGCAAACTTCCTTGTCAAGTTTGTTTCCAAAACAAAGCACATGCATCTCAATCAATAACTAGACGCCATCTTGGATTTAGGTGAGCTTGAATGCTGCATATCATCCATTCTAGTGTCCACTTTCTAGCATGTTAACGATATTTTCCCTAACTTAATGTCTAGAACGATGACAGTGTAAAAAAAGGTTTTGAATTGTCTTTGAAAATGGCGACCAACTTTTTTTGAATTGGCTACCACTTTGAAGAATTCAGGAGCCAAGTGGCTATCAGAAAAAAAAATCAACTTCATGCCCTGCATACAGCCGTGCATGGACTTTTTCAAAATTACGGGAATGCAAAAATAGAAAGATAAATATTGTAGTTTTTGTATTGTTTACATTTATTCCCACATTTGATGGCATCCAGAATGACCCAAAGAAAAGAAACTCCATGAACAATAGCACAACCACAATATTTTCTTACTTGGCAATGACAAAAAATTGACTTTTCTGGAGTCCACCTTGGCGTTGGTGGTCATGCCTGTTTCCAGCAAAATTATTTCCCTGCAAAAAAGTTAGTCACATATTAATGACAGCACTGCTTGATAAACTGTATGAAGAAAATTTTTTCTAGCTTAGCAAGGTAATGCACTTGACCATGCACTTTTATTGGAGTTTCACAAGTATATATATACAGCTATTTCAATTTACGTTGTCGGATCAAAGCTTCAAGGGTACGGGACAAGACTGAAAGGCAGTATGGGTAGATTAGAATTAATTTTAGGCTTTCGGGGTTGTTGGCGCGAGATGGACATGGAGGCTGAAAATACAATTAGTATTGCCTTGCGCATCTTAACAAAGAGCAACAAGAACAGATATGACTCCTATTGCTTAAAAGCGGTTCCTTGTCTTGTCTTGTAGGCTTGAGGCTTTGATCCGACAACGTATATTGAAATAGCTGTATATACATGTATGAACCAAACCAAAAAATTTGATTTGATGTAGGCCTGACAACATTTTTTGGTCAAAGAAATGATATTGTAACAGCTTTTATTGCTCCAGGCAGTGTGCCTCAAGGCCATACAGTTAACCCTTTAACTCCCAAAAGTGATCAACATGTGACTTCTCCTTATAATATCCATTCACTATCCAGCAAACTGGTAATGAGAATCTTGATTTAACAGCAAATTCTTGTCATTAATTTTCAAGGAAATGTGTAGCAGCTAGAGGGGAGAATTAACAATCAGATCTGAAAGGTTAGGGTTGAGTTTTCTTATCATTGAGCCACTGGCCTTAGAGCATGCTGCAGAGCATGAGTGAGGATGATCAAAACTCCTGTGGGCAAATAGGCCACAGGCATGCTTTTGACATAACCCAAGATGGAGCTGAGAATTTTATAAGTACGTTTGCTCTGGGAAGTGAATGCAGTGTTTTAAATTGCAATTTTAAATTGGAAGTGAATGCAATGTTTTAAATTACAATTCAACACGTGTATCGTTGGCCTCGCCCTACAAGATGTTTACATTGTATAATATTTAGATTGCTTTCTTTTTTCAATAACCAACTACTGTAGGCTAAAACTGTATTAAAGCTGTAAGTGGTAATCACCTCTGAGTAAAAGTAGAACTGAAATTACTTGAAATTAAGCCATGGCCGACTGACAAGACAACTCGTTCCCCTTAAAACTCCCAATCGCTGAACGTTTAACTAAATGATAATACCTTATTCCTGAAGAATTCATGGCTCTTACAAAATGATTTTACGGACCAGTTTAAGGATTTTGAAGGGACTACCAACATCCGGCTTATCAGTCGAGTACTTCCCAGAGACTTTTCCAAATACCGGCAAATATAAAGACTTTACCTGTCTTGATTGAAGTGATTTTACGGCGGAGATAAACTCCGAGGTTCTGTCTCTACATGTTGTCATATCCACAGTTATCGAACTGAAGTTGTTTTCGCTTGAAAATTCCACTCGAGTTTGATCGTTGTCTTCACCGCTCGATCGTGTTCGGCGGCGTCTAGTGATCATGGGTAAATTACATCGGCGAAAATTTATCCCTCATTCCTTCCCTAAGTAGTTCTTAAGCTTCTGATAGTACTAGTGAGTCGTTTTAGACAAATCAAGGAAGGTAAAGGTAAGGAAAATTTGCGAGAAATATGTTTCGACACTTGAAAAAAGAAAACGAAGCAAATGGTGACGTAGAGGTTAAGGTTACCGCTGCTCGTCAACATTGCGGGCGCTAGGTCGAAGTGCAAAGAAACATGAATTTGGACCAAGATCGTTCGTTTTCGATTAAAAAGACGAGCATCGTGTGATTTCAGTGAAAGGCAGAGGCAAAATTATGATTTATTTAAGCCATACCAGTCCATTTCCACCTCTGTTTGTCGCACAAGCCGGTCAACTTGAAATGTGATGGGGTTAAAGCCAAATAACTCCTTAGAAACAGCGCGTTCAATTTACACTGAATATTCACCTGAGTCAAGTTACGAGGAGATGATGGCACGGCAAACTTCATTTCCGGCTAACTCTACTACTCCAGCTACACTTGGGCCTGGGATTTCAAGGCCAGCATATCTTGCTCTGACAATTGTTTTTACGACGCTCTACGCTTTGTTATTTTTTATGATAGTGGTGCAACTCTGCCTGATCTTATATCACAAACATCGCCGTTTATCGTATCAAAGTGTGTTCTTGTTCATCTACCTGCTGTGGGCTGCGTTGAGAACTACGCTGTTTTCATTTTACTTCAAAAATAGTGCACAAACAAACACATTTGATCGTTTTATACGGTGGCTCCTGTACGCATTTCCAATCTACTTACAGTTTCTTACCCTATCTCTGCTGACATTGTATTTGGCAAAGGTAAGCTACTTAGATAAAAGACGTATACAACAGCAACTAAACTTTCCTATCACTCATTGACTTTTCATCTTTTAGATTACAAAGTTTACGTATTTTTAGATTCTTATGTAATTTCTACGCAGTTTTAGTTGTAAAAACTCAATTCTTTAAAAGGACAAAACTTAATTGCTATGCCTACGGCGCACTTCCGCCTTGTTCCGGTCACTTAAAATATTAGTACTACGTACAAGGTAGGTCCAACATATCTGTGTTAAAGCGAAGATAGCATCCTTGTAGTGAGCTGCAGCTAAAACAGTTGCAGAAAAGAATTCTGAAAAACCCGATGGCAGTAGTTGGGTGCTTCACGCTACCAGTTGAACTTTGAGGCCACATGTATGTGGGGTTTCCGGAGTGAGGCACTGCCCACTACATCGAAGTAACAACTCATGAACTGAGGCAAATTACTGTTAGAGACTTAACCATGCTGGAAACTATATGTCCAGAGTATTGCATGTGTGTTAAGCGACCCTTTGTCCAAATTTAGTGATTTTAAGTGTTACTGAATCAATAATCTTCCAGTTTAGATGTAGGTGTTCACTTTTGAATAGAAAATGAATGTAATGTTTGGGAAATTTCAGTTTATGAAACGCATATTAATTAATTGATTACCAAAATTATCTTTCCTTAAAAAATTAGTTTTCTAATTTGGTATGGACATCAGTGATAGACTCAGATGCACCTTTTGTGCTAATTCCTTTGTTCTTGCCACATTTCGAAGTCATCTGTGATCTGTTAGGGCACAGATGCACGACAACAAGGAATATACTTGTTAAATATTTAGTTAGTAGAATAGTAAGTCAGATTGCAGTATTTTTGTAAGAACCTTACTAGATTTATGCTCATGTGTTGACTGAAGAATGTCTCTTCAACTATTTTATTATAAGATACAACTATTAGTTCCCCCATTGTTTACATTGGGACTCTCAGAGGATGATGCATGTAGAAATGAAATGTTATTGCGTATAGCTCCATTACCTATCAGGACCAGTATAATTAATCTTTAACCCTTTAACTCTCATGAGTGACCAAGACAGAATTTCACCTTAGTTTATCTATACAATATCATGCAGGCAAATAAAGGGAACAAAGAAAAAATATCAGTTATGGGAGTACTAATTGATTCAATAGAAAATTCTCCAAACTAACATAATGAGAATCATTTGACAGACAGTGAGGAGAATTATTAATGAGATCTTGGGAGTTAAAGGGTTAAAATTGTTATTTTCTATGACTCAGAATATATGAAAATCATATATGTAATTTGTGGATTAAGAAATGAATAATGGAATCAATGTTCACAGTAATAAACAGTACTAATATGCAGTATAGTGAAAGTAAGGCCTGAAAAAATTCAGGCTTGTATGGGATTTGAAATAATAACCTCTGCAATACCTGTGCAGTGCTCAACCAATTGAGCTAACAAGCCATTACTTGGAGCTGGTCATCATGTTGGTTTGTAACTGGATTTGAAGCCATAACCTGTGCGATACTGGTTCAATCTTGTTCAGGGCCTTAATTTTTTTTCAGGCTTTATTTTCACTACTGCTTTAGTAGTGTTCATTGCTACAAAGATCAATTTCATAATTAATGAATTTGTTTTTTTCTCTTTAGGTTGTCTTGAGAACCAGAAGAAGCACTCTTGAGCCTTTAACATTCAGGTAAATAGATAGGCCTTAGAGATTGGCTTCGTTACTTGTGCAGTGCCTCTTATGGTTATAACCGTCAGAGTAGATAATTATGTAGATGTTAGTATTGATAATCTAATAGATATTTTTTCCAACACAAGTTGGCACTTTCCAGCTTTGTTTGTATCTGGAAACATTCAGGGTAGCATACTATATATGCACCAATAATCCCTCTTTCTGTTAAGCCCTCTTCTTTGAAAAGCCTCTTCCCCTTCCCCTCTGTCTGGAACCTCAAGTTTTGAAGAAGCTCTCCCCCATCTCCCTTTTGAGTACCCATGTGAAGAATTGAATGGAAAAATGATACAGTCTACTCCTGTCATTGCGGACATCCTCAATGGGAGATTTACAGTCTGTAATAGCAAGAGTCTATAGTCTCTAAACATATGAAATGATATGTAGAGGAATTGTTTCTTTATTTACCTTTAATATTTGTAATGTTGCTTTATATTATGAGTCAGGCTTTTGGACGAAGTGCTAATAAGTGTTCACTTTAGTGAGAGAAAAAAGAAGTGAAATGTTGCAATAGGGGGCATGAAAGTGTGCATATTTTCATAATAGTTAGAGGCGATTATAATAATTTCTTCATGTGTAGTGGGGTATAGGAATACGAATTCCAAAATTCTGAGGTTTGCTTCCTCATGGGGAACTCAGACTAAGAATATTTTGCTCTTTACTTTTATTTTTCCACGCCATAATGATATGTGGCTCAGCAAAATACCTGGCAACTTGCAATACTGGGGAATATACATTGGCCTGATATCTATACAAAGAAAAAGTATGAAGGGCCAATATTCCCTAGTGTAGCTCAAGTTAAGTTAAAAAGTAGTTTATTGTATGGCGCACGGACTAAACTTGGTTATTTTGAATTTGCTAGCTTTAATGATTGAAAGTATATGGCTTATGACCATTTCCATGGAAATGGTCTGTATGGCAAAATCCCAGACTAGTAAGAACCAATCAGAACACTTGCATTTACCTCAAGACTTCCTTGCCATAGAATAGCATATTTCAAACCATCAAATAGGGGAATTACCTGTATGCACTAAGATTTACAGACAATTCTAAAGATAAGTATGGTATTTATTTTTTTGCTGTTTTTGCCAACAGGAAATACAACAGACTGTATCTTCCTTGTTCATTTGCCGCAGTGAATATTGTTTTCTTTGCTCTTAACATTACAAGCTCTATTGTGTGTCGTGAACAAGATGCTCATGATACACTAGTCATATTGCGGGTCATTATAAATGGACTGCTGTTTGTTGTTGTTGGTGTTGTTCTCTGTTTCTGCATTATTAAGGTATGTTTACCTTCTCATTGTTTGCAGTTGTATTGATTTCTTAGTAAATAGTTTAATGGTCAAAGTCCTACAATTTTTTCAGTCCAGGGAGGTGTGACAGAAGTTTGCCCCTTGTATTTTTACTTTGAAATAATGTTGTTGTCATGTTAAACTGTCTCCATTCCAGTAGCCATGCATAATTTGACTTTTTTTGGTGGCTTTCATGTTTGATGGTAGGTGACACATGGCTCTTGAGATTTTGTGACAACACTGTCATTTTAGTGTCAATAAGCCCTGTCACCAAACTTTTACAGTGCCCCACTCAACTGATAATTGTTAAAAGCTACTATTGGAAATTCTGCACAAAAATTGGTAGGCATTACTTGAACTTTTTTTTTTTCTTTTCACAGATTACAAGAGCACCAGCTGTCAATGTTTTACTGGAGGGTCAGGTACTTTGTGCAAGAATTAATATTTAATGATGATTACATTAGTTTTATTTCTCCCATTTTTATGTATTTGTTACTAAATATCAGTTCATTGCAGGGAGCAACAACCAGACAAGGCATACTACTGTGTGTGCTGGTAGTCCTGCTCTATTTGTCTAGAGTAGTTTACAACCTAATCGCAGTTGCTGTACCTCATGATTTGTCTTCATTTGGCTATGGCTGGATTAATGTTTCTGATGAGGTACGTAGAGTTATGAAATGAATTATGAAGTCAAATTTCTAATTTAAAAGAAACTCTGGTGTTGCATTGGCATGGTTATTACAAATTGATTTGGTTTTTATGAAGTAAGCTTGTTGATGATGTGAATTGGCCATTGTTAAGAGTTTCTAAAGCTGACATTTTAAGTGGTATCCCTTTGTCAGAGTGTAAAAACTCTTTACTGTGGACAATGTGCATTATGATAAACCTGAAATCATCTATACATGTTTCAAGTTTGGTTGATGGTTATGATGCCATTGCTGTCAATTGTTACATTAAGGTTCTTACATTATACCCTACTAAAGCAATACCAACTCAAATTATTATTCGATTATTAATTATAACCCCTTAACCCTTTTTAACTCCTAAGGTCTGATTGTTAATTCTCTCCTGTAGCTGCTACACATTTCCTTGTAAATTAGTTATGAGAACTTGGTGCTAGATCAAGATAGCAGCTTTACCCGATAAGTTTGGATATTCTGATCACCTGTTTGCTGAATAATGTATGGATATTGTTGGGAGAAGTTTTATGTTAATCACTTCTGGGAGTTAAAGGGTTAACTGCCAACCCCACTGAGAAAACCTGTGCCAATGCAAACCAACGCATGTATTTTTCAGAATTTTAACTTGTTTTTACTCTCTTACTTTCACCATACTGAGTACATCATGTAGGTAATCAATAAGAAGAGATTTGTCTTCTTCTCTTTCATTTGTGTCTTTTGAGTTTTTTTTTTTGTTTTTTTTGTTAACCTACCTCTTATTTTAATCTGTAACTATTCAGATAATCAACATTCAATCAAGTTTTGCAAGTATGCCCAGTAATTTTTTAAACACATTCATAATAGTGAGCTTGATGTTAATGTGACAGTAATGTAGAATTCTTTTGATTGATGTTAATATTTCATTGTAAGCAGCTCATTGTAAGTAATGTCTTGTAAGTGATGTATTATTTGTAATGTGTTTTAATAGAGTTTATGTATTGTATGTAATATGTGTCGTGAATAAAGATTTAAAAATCTTTTGAATAATTGGGTCAAAGCTTTGCACTGAATTCTTCAACTCCCATATCAAATTTGTAATTCTCCTTACTGTCAACCATACAATTCTTGTAGTGTTAGCTCAGAGAATTTAGCATTAGATAAACTAATTATCCCCAAATTGATATTTATCTTTATTCTCATCACTTATCTGGCTGATATTGTATTGATATTGTAAGGAGAAATTCTGTCTTGGTCACTCATGGGAGTCAAAGGGTTAAAGTCTCTCTATTTTAACTAAACGGAATATAAATTTTGTATTAGCAGTATTTTAAACCCTCTAAACCCTAGGAGTAACCAACATCTAATTTCTCCTTACAGTGATCAGTCATTTATTAAGATCATGAGAATAAAGAGAACGATTTCCAACCTAAGAAGTTCGTGATCGTTAAGCAAGTTCTCCTTGTCAGCACCAAAGGAAATGGAAGAGAAGAATAAGGGGAAGCTAGATACTGTACTGATGTTAGGGTGTAACGAGTTAAATAAATAAATTCTACTTCATGTTTTAACCAACTTTCTAACTGATTCCTGGTATATTCTAGGGTGAAATTAACTACAGAGATTCTTCGTGTGATAGTTGCAACAAAGTTCATGACGAGATGCGCGATGTGGAGTTTATAACGTTTGGTGTTGTCTTAATTGTATGGGAGGTGTTACCAACCTTCATGGTTATATTATTTTTTCGAGTCAGGAGACCGAATATTGGAGACATGGTTTGTAAAACTAAACATATGTTTTTGTGCTTGTTACTAGTCTGCATTCATGCATGTAGAGAAAGTTTTCTAGCAACTTATGGGAAATGTTTATGATAACCGGTCACTTCGCCAACATGTCAATATGGCATTACTAGTAACTTCACTAGGTATGTAAGGTAATTTTGGTTTTATCAACTGAATCGTTGATGTAAATTTGCCATTTTAAAGAGTTTCAAAGCTGTCGTTTGGAGCGTTAGCCCTTCATCTTTCGCTCTAACGAAGGACTAACACTCGAAACGTCAGCTTTGAAACTCTTCATGGTGGTCAATTTATATTATCAACTCAGTTGATAAAACCAAACTTATCTTGCTATACTTCCCCAACGACGCAGCACTACAGTTTCTTTAGAAACTTACCCCCTTTATTAATACGCTAAGTATGTAGGCTACTTGACGATATGCCGGTAAGTTGACTAATGGTGTCGGCGAGGTGGTTGTTGGTGAGTTGACATGTCGGCGAAGTGGCTGGGCACTATCCACGGTTATCGTACGCATTGAAACTACGAGGTTAGGGAAGGGCCCCCTTTCTTCAGTCCTCTCCGATTGAATATTTTTTGTGTGTTAATAAACAGGAAGAATAAAAATCTATGCCAAAATAATCGGCCAAAAAGTCCTTTAAAGGGTTTTGAGATAACTAGCTTGCACCCACAATATCTTTAAATTCGACGCTTATTACACGACCGCCAATTACACGACATAGTCGTAAGTGTCATTTAGTCGCTAGCTTACAAATTTGTAAATGATTGTGCGTCACCCTAGTTCATTGCTTGTCATGCCGGTTCATTGTGTGTCATGGCAGTTCATGACCCGTCACACCTCTACGATCCTCTTAACAGTATGAATCATCCGTATTTTCCATAAATATCTTTAACATATCTCCCCTTAAATTTCACCAGGGACCATCAGGTATAGTCTCACAGAGTTGTGACAAAAAGTCATATTTCTTTGACAATCCTCGAAGGTATGACTCGGACGAAGACCTGACAGAGTCACAAGGACAAACCAGAGGGTAGGTTGATTAAATGAACTTTTGTTCTTTTGTATCATGCAACCGGGTGGGAAATGACTGCTCCATTACTTACATTATCTTTGTCAGCACCTTAAGAACTGCAAAGATCATAGTATGAAGAAAATGCATGTTAATATCGGTATCCAGTCCTTCCGTACCCACGGTCGTTTCGTACCCAATGCGAGTAGGTTCGTACCCGAACCGCTTGTTGAGTCGTACCCATTCCTATATATATACAAACTCATTCGAAATACCTCGCACGCGAGTGCGTGAACAGATGTCAGTTGTTGCCTACAACAAGCAAGTAGAGTCAATCGGTTAAGATGTAAGCAGAATTATGTTGTGTAGACTTGTGACCCTAGCAAAAGCTCCAAGTTATTGCTTAGCACAAGATAAGTGTGATATTTTTCATAGAACAGTCTAATGTTTAGACTTGTGACTTTTTTGAAAGTAACAGCTAGATTTTTTTTCCTCTCTCTGTTATTAACGGTGATGAATTCGCTCATTCTCGTTTATTTTATTCGTACTTTAAACATATAACATGGAAAACATATTCTAAAAGTATGGGTACGAAACAACTCAACTCACTGGACACAAATCAACCCAGCTGAGTACGAAACTACCGTGGTTAGAAACGGCTGGAAACTCTAATATAAGGGAGTAAAGGGCAAGACAGGTATTGGCGATTACAATGAGAGACCTGACGGAATGTTGGATGGGTAATCCCAGGCTAGAGTACTATCTTCTCTGAGCTGTGCTAGGGTAAATTGGTGGTTGGTGGGGTCAAGTCTGTACACGAGTCAAATGGCCCATCCAGCCGGAGCTTGTCTCGGTGTCCTTAGAATGAAGTATTACATCTCCTTAAATGGAATGCTAGTCCATCGCTGGTACCCATTTCAACCTCAAAGACACATCCCAATGACCCAGCCAGGGGACCTCGCGACTCAACACTCCAGCGCACTAACCAGTAGGCCACAGGGTTAGGGTGGCAGTACATTTATCGTCTTGGTCGCTCCATGCTACTGTCACGTACCAGGAAACAAGTTCTAGCAACACGGCCCTTTGGTTTAAAAGCTGCCCATACCCCTTTCTATTTTGTAAATTTCCACCATTTGGTGGTCATTGAGAGATCCCATGTATTCATGTCTTGCGCAGTGGAGTGGACGCAAGATCGAGAGTATGTAGTTCGAACACAAGAACCCCTGAGCCTCTCGAGGGGATCAACGTAATGTCCTGCTAAACGCCCCCTCACTATCACAGTGCTTCTCCCAATGATGATAAGTATAATTGGGTTGGCTGGGTTTCCTATACAGTTCTCTGATAATGCCACATGCTGGGCTGGTAGACTTGCGTGTGGACGAAAATTAATTTACAGCATTTCGAGTGTGTAGATCTCAGCAGTATTTACCTACTACCAAAAAATTCGTACGCCCCCATGCAGAGTTGTGTCAACACACATTAATACGGTATGATTTCCTGTTACAGTAGTCAGTACAACATACCAGGCGTACTTAGTCCCTCCGCTTCCAGTGGGAGCGTAAACAGACCACGGTCATCATATGGCTCCATATCAGCCGCGCGCAGTGGAAGTTTCCAGAGAAGTAACAGTTATTCTAAAGTGTATCTCCCGGGTGCCACTCCTCCTACTCTCCCTCCTTGGTCTGAAAACCAAGCAGGCTGGTCTGGTTACCAAGCTGACGGGTCTGGATTCAAGGCGGACGTTTTAGTTGAGCAAAACGAAGCATAGTGATTCAGGGGCAACGAGTAAAGTTAGGGTCGATGAAAGACCTCAAAAGAATGAAGCAAACTTTGTTACATGGATGATCGAACGAAACGCTGGTAGAAGCTAGACCGTAATTCTTTGTCAGCACAGAGGGCTACGTACAAGACCTCTTGCCTCTTTACCAGTTATACAGGGTTTCACCCAGACATTAAAAATCTTACCTTTAGAAATCCTTAATAGCCCTTTAAGCCGTGACAATAGCTAGCTTCTAATTTCTCCATAGAGTAGCACTGTTGAATCAATCAGATGCGTCAAGAGGCCAAAAGAAGCAGTAGATTATCAAACAAACGTCCTTGACAGTACCATAGGAAATGTATACAAAAAGAAGCATGAAGAATATACATACTGTTGTTAGGGTGTAAAGGGTTATTAAGCATACAGTGCACTGAAGGAGAATACCCCAGGTGCGCTATTACATCATCCAGTCAACTGGAAAGCCATAATTTTTACTTTTCAAATTAAACGGTCCAGACAAAAGATCTGGGAATTGCCAAGGAAGAGATATCTCATTAGTTCACAAGAAGCCAAGAAAGTGTAATGTACAGTTTCGTCGTTCCATGTGGCTGCAGTGCCATTCAGTTGGATATACTTATCGCAGACGTTGTCACGTAGACGTATTATTGTAGGATTTTATAGGTTTTTTGTCGTTTTTATAATCATTTTTCTCTTTGTTTATTTGTATGTTTTTTTTTTTGACTTCTTTGGCCTCGGGTCTAACTAACTTCAACATAAAATGTTGCCACAACTTCTGTAGTTGTCTTGGGCCGATTTGTAACTAACTGTTCTCGATCAAGTTTAGTAAGTTAATGTCAAATTTTTTATAATTCTATTTAATGAAAACTTCCCTTGATCTATTGTGTCAGAAAAGAAACGTTTATTCTTACATAGTCATATATATTGTTTTTTTTTAATAATTGAAAGGAAGACCATTTTGCCAAATTTAGAAATAAATTTAACCACACGGTACATAGTACCTTCATTTTGTTCGTGACTTTTTGCTGTACTAGTCATGCTAAAGTATACGAAACTTCATTTAACACCATGTATACGAAACTTTATTGAAAACCATGCCTTTTTTTTGTTTTGTTTTTTTTTTTACTTTTTGTTCATTCCAAATAATCTAGCAGCGGAAAAATTGCGGAATATCTTATATTGAGTTTGTGCTGTATTGGTCAAAGTCATGGTGTTTGTATGAAAAATGGCGGAGTTCAGGCAAAGACCAGGCTTAGCGATCGCTTGGTCACGAGAGGACCTTGTTTAATATCATTATTTTCTTCTTCCTCTTTTCGTTTGAATTGTACGTCTTGTGTAAATTATTCTTATGTTCTCCAAAAAGCTCTAGGCAACTAGATCCCTTCAGACTGATCCAGCAAATAGAGGAGCTGGTCAAGCCGTTTGGCTTGGCGTATCAGTTCTTTTGTAATCCTTTCGCCCGCAGTTCCTCTCAGCTTTTTTGCTTTTTCTTTTAACTTCAATATCTTACTCAATATGTCAAAATCGACGGTACCTGCAACGTGTTTGGGATTACTTGACATTTTGCTCTGGAACTCAGAAATGTTCCTTGAGGTGTTGGATGATGGGTCGATCCTTTTGAGCCATTTACTAACATCATCGAAATTGATGATTTTATCCTTAGGTTTTTCGTATACTTCCTGCGATATGTCGCAAGAATGTGTTAGAGTACCGTGGATTTCGTCTGTTGTGTTAATTAGCACTCTCTTGGTTGAATTTACAGTTGCTTTGCTTGTGCTCCCTTTCTCCCGCTCTTGTTTATTTGAAAGACTACGAGAGTAGATTGAAGAAGCGATGAAATCGTTCGACGAAGCACTCACTTTCCTGATCTGAACATTGTCGGCAAAGTGTACTGTGCGTCTGACCGAGAAATGTAACTCATCGTCGTTATCTGATAAATTACCTGATGATGTGGGAATGAGCGACTCCAGGTTTGTTGATATGGGTTCTTTCCTATATGTCAAAGGCGAACAAACGAATTCCTCTTTCTTCTCTTTGTTTTCCTGTGAAGAAACCTTTGAAACTGGAGATGCATTAGCTGTTGGAAGCGCGGGTTGTCGTTGTTTCAAAGTTTTAGCTTGTGTGCTCGTATCAAAATCGGTCAAACTCGCGTTTCTTTCTTTTGAAGCTTCAGTCTTCTCCTTCTGGCTCGGAGAGGAGTTTGTATCAGAAATCGACATTTGTCTCGTTTGCTTTTTCTCTCTGACGTCTTCTCCTACTTTCGTTTTAGGAGAAACCTCCTGCTGCCCTTTTGTTATGCCAAACATTTTTAAAAACTTTGATAACAAACAACTCGCTACCTCCATATCCTCATTGCCCTTGTTAGCGCTGGTTGACTCAGAATGAACGTCGTTTAAGATTGCAACGAAAAAGTTGATGAGCAGCACCACCGTAAAGAAAAGAAAACTTTCTATGTAAAGTCTGGCAAAGTCTGAATGTACATCTACGAGTTCTCTACGCGGAGCGGAGGCCCCGAGAGCCATGAGAAGTTGTTGCACAATTACTCGTTTGAAAGAAGAAAACATGTAGATGCTTTTACCAAAGAGGAGCGACCCGGCATGCGCGAATGCAGTGAAGACAATGCAGAACACTACTGCATAGCTCAAGATTGGTTTAACGGATTTTTTTACAGAAAGAAAAAGTATTATGATTTGTCTGTTGAATTTGAGTAATCTTAGAAAACGTAACGTCGCTATGGTTACTGCCATGCAGATCACGTGGTTTTCGATCTGGAACCAGAATAACGCGTCGTGGAAGCTTACGATGGCGAATGGATTTTTACTCAACTTCTCAAGAGCTTGTGTTATATGCTTCTCTTTTTCGATAGAGATGAAAACGGCGCTCACTGCACTGAGAATTTGCAGCATTTCAAGCCAGCTCCAAGGAGATTTCAGGTATGCACATTTCAACCGATAGGCTCTGATGCATTCAGTCACTGAGTAGTAGCCAAGAAAGAAGGCGAATAGCAACCTTATGATCAAGTACATTGTGGTGGAATATGAATCTGACATAGCCATTCGAATCACCTCGATCCTCAAAAATGATCCTAGATAGCCCGATGGAATCATCTCAAAATATAACACAACATCTAGAAGCTGGTTTGTGGCTACGTTGAACATGGTAACCTCAATCAAGACAACTCTAGTTTGACGATCAATCCATTCATTCTTTGCAAGGTCCCGCAGAATTCGACGAGCCGTGTAATCAAGGTATCCCAGATTAGCTACATAACCACCACTACCATAGACAGAGTGTACACCATGACTTGAATAGTCACCTACATCATCTTCAGACATGTATTTCCAGTTTTCCGGACACGCAACACTCTTCCAAGGGATAGAACTGTTATTTGACATCAGATCCCAACCTTCCTTGTCCTCCTTTTCTTTTGAATAGAAGTCGTAACAAGAGGATACCCAATTCCCCAAAACGCTAGGTACTGAACACGAACCTGAGGAATAGCACAGAGGGAAACCGGGTTTCTCCTTAGAGTCGGGTCCATTTTCTTTTTTTGTGTTGTTTTGTCAGGAAATTTGTTTGTTCTAACGAACAGATCTCTGAATCTCCGGTAGGTAGGAAGGGGGGGGGGGGGGCAACGATCACAAATGGGGGAGCAATTTAAGTCGTTTGAGTTCACGAGGCAGTAGATTATCCCAGAAAGAGGAGAGGAAATCAGGAGGAGTCAAATCCCGTGAAGTTTAGTTTTATTACAATCGCTGCCATTAAGCAACATACAAAAATGCGAAAAAAACAGAAAAATGCAAAAAAATAAAATGAGTTAGGCTTTAAGACGTCGATTTAAGTTTGACTAAGAAGTCGAGTTTTGTGTGCAAAGTGTATTTGGTCTGAGCTATTAGCTCTTACAGTTGAGCGACTTCATATCCATTTCTGCACTCAATTCGTATGATAAAGAGTTCATGATTCGAGTATACTTGCGAGCTACGATATGAATTTGGGTGCTAAAGAAGGAAGCTATGGAATAAGAGGATCGAATGAAACACATTTCTAAAAGCAACTTCGTCGCTTTGCATACCTTTTTTAATCCTCAATTGTCGTAGGCGCGGCATGCCTAGTAAGATGGAGAGCTTGTTACCGGTATAGACAGTCATTGGCTCTTTTTGACCATTGTACCATTCACCAGCATAGACCACTGGGATAACAACGTCGTCAAGCCACTTCCAAAGCCCTGACGTATTTTTGACCTGTAAAAGATATTAGGTTGGTTGTGTGATCAGCAGATGGTTTGATGCAGGGAATATCGATGAGTTCCTTTGGTTTTTGCACATTAACGAGCCTTTTTATGTTATTTTTTTCGCCTTTGACTTTCAAATTGTAACGGTCTCTTACCAAACCTACATTGCTGATTTTCCAAAACGATCGCAATGCTTCACATTTTTCTTTCTCTGACTGACGTTTCTGCAATTCTTTGTCTTTAATTGCAGGAGCCAAAACTTTTACATCTTAAGATTAATGATAAACAACTGTTGAATATCTTGCACCCCGCGAATATTAGCTGTTAATTAGGATGTTAAGATAGCTATTGCATATCTGAAAGACTCAAGGCCTTTTTATTTTCAGGGACCTGTCGTCTCGTACCTGACTCAAGTTTGTAAAAGCATTGCGTGTAGCTTCAGCGAGGTGAAATCGCTCACCACTTCTGTTTCCGTAACACACTATCAATAGAAGAACGTGGAAGACAATCGAAAACACTATGTTCCTCGCAAATAAATTCGTTTTCATTTCAGTAATTCTGAATTTCCTTTGCTCCTCGATCTCTTTCTTAGTAATGCTGAAGAGTTTAGAATTGCCGTCAGATTGAAAGCTTCCAGTGCTGCTTGCGAGGTCGTGAGTCTGGATTCTTTTCCGCGGAAACAATAAGGCCAGAATTACAGAAATGACTACGATTTTCAAGGGCTGGGAAATAAATATGTCCTCGGTAGAGGTCAGAAATACAGATGCCAACCACCGCGATGACTTATCTCCCTTCCATACCAGAGAGTAGAAAATCATAAAGACGGAAGACAGCACTGAGCCAGCAACACAGATTAACCAGGCAATGTAGATGCAAAGGTGAGGGAGTTGGAATGATTCGCTGGTATCATGATCGCGGTCACGATAATAGTCTCCATCAACTGCTACTCTTGAGCGTCTACTCTTCCGAAAGAGAAATACGACGAGGTAACTGGGTACGAAAGCGATCACTGCTGTGATCACAGAAACTGATAGTTCCCGGATAGTAATTTTAAAAGGTCCAATTTGAATAGGTCTCGTTTCGTCAATAGTTCCTTGGTAAAACAGGGCAGATACGATCATTCCCCAAAGCAGAAAGAAACAGCAGCAAGTTACTCGTTCTACTCGGGTAAACACGTCCTTTGGATCTTTAGTTACTATCGAGAACCACATGTGTTCGTTGGCGAACATGTAATTCTTGGCGTTATTGAACTGAGTTGTAAAGTCATAGTACCTGTTTGCAGTCGCGGCATAAAGTTCTAAGGTCGTTTTCCCATCCTCTAGTTCTAAGCCCAACCAACGAAAACAAGGAAATGTCCATGTGCAGTTCAATTGAAGATCTGTTATGAAGATGTTGTTCAGGAACCACGATGGGTCCTCACCAAAACTGTCATGGCCAATAGTAACTTTAATCAGCGTGCCAATTGGCCGATTAATAGCAATAAGGAAGTTGTCAGTATTTCCTCTTTCAAAGGGTTTTCTACTCTCCTCATAGTTGCAAGATAACCCGATGACACTACTGGAGGACTCAGTCCCCATCATCTTTATGGAAACGTTGGCAGAGGTGCCTGAGTTTCGCCAAGTCCCTGTAGTGATAGAGACCTTGTATCGATAGAATCCTCCTGGCGATTGTATATGCACAAGAGGACCCACCTGAAGAGGAACAACAGAGGCCATGACAGTTTGCGCGAATAAAAGCAATGTCTCAGTCCATAAATGAGTTTTATTTTAGTTTAAGATAGTCTATTAGGAAAAGCCTTAGTGAGTATCTATATAGTGGCACTTGTTCTCATTACTACCCTAGTATGCTTTGGAATTTTGGTATGCAGTAAACGTCGACCGCAAAACCTTGGAGTACGCGGGCTAATTCAATTTTTTCTGCAGCGCAGTTCGTCTCTTAACTTGAAGAATTCTTCCTTCTATGGTATAGGCTCACCTCAAATCCCCTTCCTCCTTAACCAAGGAACGAATCACCTTAGTGAAAGCTTCTTTTAACTTGGGCACTATTTGCTCAGACATAACTTAGCCACTAAGCATCTGATTTAATAAAGCAGAAAATATTTTCAAACCAATGGAATGGTTGGAAAATAAAGATAATTTCCTCAAGATTATAGCGCCTGGAAAATGTTTTCTTTAAAAAGGTATACATGCAAATTCTTGGATAACTTTTCAGTGACAAACCTTTTCAAGATCCCTTTTATCCGCCCGCCGGGCGAAGACTAACACAATGAAGTACACAAGAAACACCATTGATACTGTCATAATGACGACGTAATCTTTTGGGTCATCGCTGCTAAATAGCACCACTTTGTCAAAGTCTATCTTGTTTGGTGTTACTACAAAATACCCTCCAAATGATGTCAGGTGATTACAAAGACACTGCAGGGTGGTGGCAGTGGAATTAATACCAGCCTTAAAAAAAATTATGGGGTAATTAGCCTCTTGAATATTTTAGGTCAAAAGCATCTGTATGGTAAGGTAATCGTTATGCGAATATGACTGTTTATCAGCACCATCATTAGCTTTGCATTCATGAGGAACATTCAAGTACAACTGAGTATTTGCAAGTTCTAAAAACCCTTACCTTGAAAATTAAGCTAAGCTAAGTGCAGAGCTTTTCTTGTGAGAAAAAAAATTTCACAATCATTTTCATATTAAAACCTTGATAAGGAGAAAAAAACCGGCAATTAAAACAGCCGAGTCCATCCCAATCGAAACCCCGTTTTTCCGTTATTTCTTCCATGGGTTCAGTTGCATTAACGCGCCTTCTAAGAATTTAATTCTTGAGCCATCCTTTTTTCCCCTCGAGCGAGAAATTTTTATTTTCTCTCGGTATCTTTTCGAAGACTCTCATATCAGGTACTTACTTTGCATCCATCATTCAACCACTGTTGGTTACTCTCGGACCAGTACCGACATCCAACTGAATCCAAGACCACTGTAAAGTTCACAGACTTTTGTGGGTCGTATGGAGGAGAGTCCATCGTCCCTTTACCGGTTGTTTCATCTATTGGGGGATCCTTGAACTTTACACACAATTCTTCAACAGAGTGCGTCGATTGAGAATTGGATCTTGGCATCCTTTTCTTTAGTATTTGACCCAGTTGTAAACCTTTTTCAGGAGGATCTACCGTTAGTGTCGACCTTCTCTTTCTCGTCGATATTCCCTTATGAAGCAGCCCAATGTAATATTTCCCTTTGCGCTCGGCATCAAACCAAACGTGATGGCTTATATTGGCACAGATGCTAGTTTTATCCTGGCAATTCTCTTTGTCTAGAGTAGTGGCAAAATCATAGTCCTCTTTCGTTGGTTTAGCGCCATACTTTACATAAAGTTCAAAAGGAGCAGACCTCTGTAAGTCTAAGGAAAGTTTGATTTTACTGTTTCCATAACTTTCTGTAAAATCTCGATACAACATGAAGTCTGGGACTGAGTACTCATCGACTGATGGTGTCTCGTTTTCTCCTTTCTCACTTATTGGAATTTTCAAGGAGATCTCTGAGCCTAGGTCTGAGATGTTCATTACGTTTCCGTTGTCATCTTTGAGTGTCAGACTGAGCACCTCCGAGTTGATTTCATCGACTGGCTGATGGAGGGAGTATGGGTTTACTGCGTAGCTAATCATCTTGAAAGTAAGTCAAAAGGACGAATGCATCAAGTAATCATAAATTTACTGGAATTTATTCTAAAAGACGCATCAAAAGATCTTGTAAAAGCCAAGTGTTCTAACTATTTTAATTTTGGATGACCATCAGTTTGAAACCTTACTCAGTGAGAACTTGTTATACATTGTAATCTCCTATGTTGTCATTGCATTAAAAACAACCTGCGTTTTATCATCATCATAATCATAATCACCATTGTTGTCATCATCATCATTATCACAGTCATGGTCACTGTCTCAGATACCATCTTCATCGTTACTATTTTCATTACTGTTTTTATATTTCATTTTTTGATTTACGCAGTACCTGAAATTGCACATCCTCAGCATTTCCAAACAATTTCTTTGTCATGCCTTCGTCCATCACCGGAAGAGAAAAGCTTGCCTTGTCATCTTCCACTCGAAGATCACTCATCTCGTGAATATCAAGCTTTCCCAAAATCACAGTGTTATGTTTAGTTTTCATGACGCTGTATTCTTCTCCAGTGAGCCTCGACGACATTATAGAGTTCATCATTGACTCCTGCAGATCTAGTGCTCTTCTTTGCATCCTTTCCAACTGAAAAGGTAAGTAAGAATATTTATGAAATATTAAAGTAAATTTCTCGTTAAATGAAGTAGTGAAAATGTATACTCTTTAATTAAACCAATTTCAAAGTTTTAATAGTCCTCGAAAACAAAGGTCAGTTTGAATTTGGCTACTGGTCCTTTGCTAGAAACGCTAAGCGGATCACCTGCCATATCTCCTTCAACTGCTCTACAAATTTTGCAGGGCTGTAGGCAGACGCACCTGAACACACCTTTCAAGCAAGCCCCGATAACGAATGACGAATAGACAAACGAATGAAAGGGTTAAGTTTCTAAAGAAACTATGGTGCTGCGTCGGATGGGGTGTATAACAAGATAATTTTGTTTATCAGCTGAGTTGATGATGTAAATTGGTCTCAAGAAGGATTTTTAAAGCTGACATTACAAGGATTGGCCCTTCGTCATTCGCTCTGACAAATGGACAGCCGAGTATAACCTGCTGCTCGTAAGAATATTTCTCGCCTACAAGCTACATGTCAAAAGCACATTTTCCTTTGATGAAGGTGAAAGGCACAGGCACATTGAGCAAGGAGACAAATTTTTCTTGTAGGCTTTTATTGTTTTCAGGCTCGTTGTATGAGGTCTCCTGAAAAACTGTTACCTATGTATGTACCCACTCTGTTCCTTTGCTGCTTTGGTGGTTAGGGATTAGAATAAATGTGAGCAAGAGAATTCGTGAGGTGAGTTTAGATATTGGAAGGTTGTCTCTAGGTCTTCGAAAACAAGCGAGTTCCAAATAAAGCTCTAGAGGAGACTATCTTAAGAGTCGAGGCTATTTTGCGAATCTTAGCTTGGTATTCCCTATTCAAAACTATTTATCAAATTTTTGATCCTCCTTTAAAAAAGACCAAGGCAATGTGATAAAATCAGAAGGATGACGCTTTCTAGCATGAACTAAATAAGCTTCCAAGATATATTGCGAAAGCAAGATATTCTGTGGCCTGTCCAAGTGCATGATGCAACACAGTTATTTAAGTCTGTCAGTCTACCTTTCCTCGTTCATCTGTAGAGGAAGAAACTCTTCGTGTGATGGCGTGCAGAATATTCCCAGAGCAATGTAGTACAAGGTGCCATGCATCTCTGTTGAGAGCACGGTCTTTCCCATTACCACCGCGAAATCTGATGTCTATTAACTGCACCCATTTCTCAAGTATTTCCAATCCAATGTGCTATAATGGAAAAAGCAAGAAAAATCACTGCGTACATGAATGATAGGTCTCGGAATGATACTTCGGTAAGTGATCAACACTTTCTTTTTTGAAATGTTCTCTACATTGAGGCTCCACTACACCTTTTACTATAAGAAAGAAACGGAAGTGTTTATTTCTTTTTTCACATATGGCAGGCTTAGCGCGCGAAGAATGCGTTTCCATGTGCATTGTTGTATTTTAAGTCTTAGTTTTCCTTTAGTCTGACTCATGGTGTAAGGAGGAAGGAGATTCGTAGCAAACCATTATTGTTGAGTCTATGCGGAATTCAAGTGGCTCACATGGTTGGAGCCTTTGAATGAATGGCTTACTCGAAAATTTTTTTCGAGACACTTTGGTGGGGTAGAAAACGGGAAAGTTACACGATAGAAACTGATAAATTATTTTCCAGTTGACGAAAAGAGGAAGAAAATCGTGAAGGTCAACGATATTTACCATGGTTGCTGAAGATAAATGTTTTGGATTTGAAGTTGTTAGGTTTAAGACTGACGACAGCTGAAGAACGGTCTGCACATCTGATGCATTGGAATTCGATAATTTTTGAAAGATATGGTCGCTAATCTACAAAAAGAACAGAGTAAAAAGAATATGCTGTTAATCCCTTTAAAAGATAGCTTGAAGTAAAGCATCTGAATGACTTCGCAACGTTCATGCTGTGGTTTAGTTTTGTTTCGATCATACGTTTCAATCAAGGAAAACACCACTTCATTGGTCGGCTGCAATTTAAGAACTTGCAGAAAAGAAACACATTTTTAGGTTTTTCGTTTTGCTTTTATTCTGGAATCTCCGAAATTTCAGCCCACAACCGAGGATCATTATTTTACTTGAATTCTCATCTGAAGGTCAAATACAAGTTAATTCATGAATTACTAATTGTACTTGTCTAGGATAATAACAATAACGGCCACGATATAATTTTGTTGTAGAAAGCTGTGGTGAGTCGGAGAGAAAAGTAATGGTGGTCTGGTAAGGTTAAAATGAGAATTACATCTTACATTTTTCTCGTAACTCTTTGTTATCCAATGTGCATCTTCATTTGTAATAACAGCCTGCATAAGGACCTGTGCAATCTGCCAGGCGTCGTTCAAGGATCCTTCCTTCAAATATCTTGTGAAGGAAGCTTCAGCACGACGAAAGAAGAGAGGTGCACCCACAGGAAAATTAGTCCATGATGGGTTTGTAACCTGTTGAGTAACAAAATGTTAGTAACAAACTAAAATTAAAAGAAAATAATTCGGGTCAAGGGTCGAACACGTTATGGCGACCACAGACAAAACTTAATGGCAAGTGGTTCTATGCTAGTTTTGAGTTTTTCATTACTCGTTTGCTATTTTCTAAGGAGCCAAGTTTAAGTTTTCCCATCTTACAAAAATAAACTTGGACGTGAAGCTCGTCATTTGCAGTCCGTTTTACTGCTTGCCATACATAACATCGTCTACCCTCATTAAAATCTTTATTTTCAATTGATGTTTCTCCCTTTCTGACAAAAGACTTTCTCGAGGTTTGAATCTCGAAAAGGCTTTTGTCAATGACACGCAAAACTACTCCAAATTTTCTTCATCTAGTCCCTTAAGAGTGGATATTATGCTCTCCTAATGATCGTGACGAGCTTGAACTTGATATCAACATAATACGTAAATTGATCATGATACTTCATTTGTACTCACCTGGATTCTGAAGGAAGTTTCAGCTCTCGCTGCGAACGAGTTGATTATGACAACCTTTATGTCAACCTCCCCGCTATCAAATTTAGGAATCTGAACAGTGACAAATGGTATAGCACTGTACAGTAACAAGTGGAAATTACCGCCCTCGACTTGATGGAAAAATTCATAGGTGAGATGCTTGTTTTTGTCATTATATCCAGTGCAGTGGATATTAAGTAAAATTCCTAAAGTTTCTCCGCCTGCTTGTGTCCCATTGCAGGTCCCACCTATCGGTGCGGAGACCGTTTTAAACTGGTACGCCGCCCAGCCATACTTTCCGTCCGGTAATTGTACATTAACTGTAAGCCTGTAAGATGAACCTTCAAGTAATCTTCCTTGTCTAAAAACGATATTTCTCGAGCTAATCTTTGTTGATATCATCGCTTTTAAGGAGTCTTTCAGATGCCACACTGTTGTGGATTCATTGCTTTGGAATCCCTTTGTGAACAATTTCCAGGTAATGCTAGTGTTCTTCAGTCTACATAACCCAGAGCACTTAGCTGTCAAGCTAAAGCGTTCGCTGGGTATAACTTCCCTCTTGCAGTTTGAGACGCATCTGTAGAAAGACAAAAGAAACTCACTGAATACTAGTTTACTATGAACTCTTAATAACACTATGCAACTGTGTATCGTTGCAAAGTTAGACTATAATTATAGAAAATTGTTAATCCGTGGTCGAGTATAATTAAAGACCTCTTTAAATTAAGTAGGTTTTGGTCAACTTAAAAAAATGTAAATTGCGAAGTAGGAAACATGTATGGCTGCAAGTCTCAAGTGAAAACCGAAAAATAGGGACAGGGGTAACTGGGAGTCTAGTCATATTAATTTAACGAGTAAACTTATGAATTAATACATAAACAATTGTTTTTTCCATTTACACTTCTACCTGATTTTGACGTTTAGCATATCTTCATCTACTGCATAAACAGTCTGAAGAAACTCAGCCTGGCGGCTATCTTTTTCGACAACAAGCAGGATGTAGTATATGTGTTCCGCTTTAGGCCTAAAGAGAATTTTAAATCCTCTTGTCTCATTCAATTCATGGCTCTGGCAGATAGATGCAGTTCTCTTGGACGATTCTGACGGAACTACTATGGCTCGGGTATCATTATAAATGGGCACAAGCGATCCGCCATCGAAACATTCCCACTTAAATTTCATACCAGAAGAACGAGCCCCAGCGATTCCCGGATCAATGGAATCGCCTCCATTGATGTCAATGTGCCCTCTGGCAGATACCAGGGTTTCGGATCCGCCGTTTATCACAGCAATTAGACATGGCTCTTCCACTTTGATGAAAGTTAAGTCTCGTCTTGCTGCAGTTGAGTTTAAGTGAGAAACTTCGAATTCAATCAATTTCAAACCCGTTGATAGCGATCCAGCGGGGGCATTCCAGATCAGGGAACCTCGGTTTACAAGCGTCCGATTTTTGGAAATTGCAAAAGGCGTGACATTCACATCTCTCACAAACCAAGCAAGTGACAACGGGGTTTTTAATAATTCGTGCTCATGTCGAGTTATGGACGCTTGGAACATCCTTTCCTCGTCGCGTTTCATGACATCTGTCTCTTCCGTAAATGGCTGTTTGGATTCGGAGAGTATCTCTACCTTAGGTAGTCCCAATGTATCAATATCTTCACCTAAGTAGTATTATTAATGCAATGAAAAGAATTATTGATTTGACTAGGTAGTTCATTGGGCAGTTATCAATGAATTCAACCAGAACCAAGTAGTGCCGTACTTTTAAAGTAACTTTAACTAAGAAGAAGAGAGACAACTAATTAACAACGATCCTTAACTCAAATTCTTTTAAATGAAGGCACACGCATCTTTATGCGAAGTGAGCATCTGTGTTACATACGAGTGTTATGTTGTTGTCGATTCTAAAACAGAGACCAGTTTGAATTACACACCTTCGATGGCCTTTTCGGTGGGTCCGGGTATAAAATAACTTACATTATTCCTTTAATTGCCTTCGCTACAAAGTCTTTAAACTACTCTCACAATGAAAACGGGCCGCGCTTCAATTACTCTCTTGTCCGTTCAGTTTTTGATGTTAATAGTACGTGCACGTGGTCAATTGTTAGGTCGTGTCCCTGTCATTGATTTTTAGTTATCTAGCACTTTTTCACCGTACGTTTTTACATTTTTTTTTTTTTTTTTTTTTTTTTTCGTTTTTATTAAGGGTAGTGCCCCGCATGGGACTCCATGTCCCGTTCGCACTGACCCTTTTGGCGTATGTCTATCGATTTTTTGTCTCTTTCCTTGTATATGCATTCATTTTGAGCTTGTAGACGTACCCAATAAAGTTGTTAAATAATAAATAAATAAATACTCAAAATTCTCAGGAGTTGTCTTCGTTATCTTTGTCCAACTATGATACTCCAAAATATACCCAAAGCTACGAATATACAAAATAGGTGTTTTACTTATATGCAATCAAATACCATCTTGAGCTCATAGTACTTACAGAGACATTTATCCACTCCATGATAGTTTTTGTCCACATACACACAGTAAGACCGACAGGATCCATTTTTCATTGTTATACAGCTAAAGCAGTTTTCTTGTTTTCCTGTACTTGGTATTGATATGGATGTGCTAAAGGTCACTCCTACATACGAATATGGCAGGATTAAACACTGATTGTGAGTTACTTAGATGAGACTTAACGTATTAAAGTCTTTCCGATAGCCTTTGTCACTTAATCTAGCCAAGACTACACGATCGAGATCTAATTAAACGTTAAAAATCTTAACATGGAGTCTTTCCCTAATATCAAACTTGATTCTGATTTCTTCCTGCTATTGGAAACACCAAACTCGAATTTTCAGTTTTTAACAACTCTCCCCACTGGAGAAACTGCAATAATATACCCTATAATGGAGTTTGCTCTCATGGAAAGGTCTGAAGGACAAGCAGCGTTCTCTTAATTAAAGTTCATCGCAAGCAGTCTTGAATTCACCCTGACAGGATAGCAGTCGCTACGAAATTCATAGCCATCTCACGGATGCTCTATTTCAGTCCCTAAATTCACAGTTGTTAATGCAACATTTGTTTTTGTTGAGTGAAATATGTGACAGTGGAGTTTCCAGGGAAACTTTTCTGAAAACGGCAACCTTATCTGTTTTGGTTTGAGCTCGTTTTCGCAAAATGAAAATGGAAATTTTAAAAATGGTAGTATTTTCCCGCCTAGGGTTACTATAGAAATATTATAATTCCCATTCTTTTGCACACGGAAACTTTTCTGCGGGTTATGAGCATGCGCACTGATTTTGCTGCTGTATCCACTTCAATGCACTAAAAAAATATTTAGAGACGTAACCGACCTTGAGTAGAAGGGTAAACTTTTTCTAATGCTTGAGACGGAGGTTTATCGTTACTGATTTCAGTCGATGGTTTGAATAATGAGTTAACCAAGAGCAAAGGCGTCACAGTGGATGACTGCAGACCTGCAAAGAGAGAGAACTATTAACGGTATGATTACATTTTTGAAATTCAGGTAGGTGTAAATCCAAGCCTCAAAATAAACGAGCTTCGAACCCTGTTTTTAAGACTGTAGTTCTTGTTGTTGCTGTTAATGTTACTTATTTTTAAGTAACATCGAGATTAATCCATGTGCTAGATGGGGTGCCACATCAGCGCCATTTTGATTTTTGCCTAGCTCAATAATTCTTCAATTGCGTTTGTCAGCAGTAGACAAATGTAGTCAATAGTCTTAAATACACACGAAACTATTCATAGATGTAGCTCACCTTGAATAGAAGGGGAACCTTTTTCTATAGCTATTGACTGACGTTTACTTTTATTGGCTTCATTCGATGGTTTGGATAATGAGTTCATCAAGAGCGAAGGAGTCACAGTGGATGACTGCAGGCCTGGCAAAAGTCATTGACAGGTGAAAAAATTAGGTTTGATTTTGCTGAATTATATAAACCAGGTAGGTGAAGATGCAAGCCTAAAAAAAAGAGCTTCGAACTCTAAGTTTTAATGATTGTTGCTGATGACACTGTTTTTTATGCTGCTGATTTTCCCTAGAATAAAACCATTATTTTCCGTTCTTAGCGACAGCGTTTCAACAACATAATACATAGAGACATAACAGTCATGCAAAGAAAAACCATACATCAATCATACAAAACATTTTAAGCTTTCTTTTTCGATTCCGATTTCTGTATTTCACTTTTACCGTGAAAAAAGTTTATACAGAAGTCTAATGAGAACAAAGCAGAAGACATGGAGTATCCTTTACGAGCACAGGGTTATCATTGTAGACTTAACAACCACGTAACCTCTTGTTCTTGGTTTGCAATTGTAGAGTAAATGCTTTCAATTGAAAGACAGAAGTCAGTAAAATGTCATACATTTACCTCGAGATCCCGTCAAGTTAATGAGTGAGAGTAAGGGCTCCACGGTGCTGGAGAGAGGGGCCGACTCCATCTGCCCGTTTCTGCTTCCTTTGCACGGGGTTATCTTCAGTGTTACTTTTAAAAAGGGCTGCATGTTGCTGGAGAAAGGGGTTGATTCCGTATGCACGTCGCTGCTTCTTTTAAGCGAGTATATCTTCAGTTTTGGTGTGAGAAAAGGATGCATGGTGTTGGATAAAGAGGGTAATTTTGCCTGCTCGTCACTGCTTATTTCAGACGACGAGGTCATTTTCAGTTTTCCTGTAGATACCACCGAGAAAGTCTTTATTGTTGGTGAGTAAAAAAAACAACGTGGACCCATTATATATTTCATCAGAAGCATTTACATGTAATCTTTCAAAAGGCAAGTAAATCTGTGACGCTTGAACTTCTCAATGCAGTAAACGAGAATACAAACATTATTCACTGGAAACCTTAACCTCTACTACTCTCAATATCTAAGTGTTTCAAGAATAAAAGGCTTACCCTGAGTTGTTGACAAGATTTTAATGGGCAAGGACGGAAAGGAATTCGAAATAGGTGAAAAAGTCGTTGCACTTGCTTCCGGGCGAGTAATCATTTGAGCCGCTGACGTCATTGGGACATTATCAGTGGAGGACGATGGCAATTTTTCTGTAATAGACGCACATGTTATGGCTCGATGTAAATCCATAATTTTCGCATTTTTGAAAGCAAGGCAAATCGTTTTAATTGAAATGGTATCTTGTAATTCTTGACTAATTTTACTTTACTGCTTTATCCATCCGACATTCAGCTATTTTATAGCCCCTTTCTTTTTTCCCTCGTTCCAGCTACCCAAAAAAATTGTTTCGTTTCGGTAATTCAAGCGGACCTGTAATGTTCTGAATCTCAGAGTCCAAAGGCTATGAGGCATCAAGGGATTTATGATGTGTCGTCTTTTTGGGGAACAGTCACTCACCCGTTTGACAATGGTCTCCTAGGTACCCATCCAAACACGTGCAGATATAACCACTTCCATCTTTGGAACAAGTTCCTCCGTTTAAACAAGGACGTGTGCCACACTCGACAATTTCTAACAGGAAAAAGAGATCACTAACAGGCTTTGATTTTTTTTTAATTTTCTCTCACTCCCTTCCTCCCTGCCTCCTTCCCCCGCTCATTCACTCATCCACACACAATATCACTCGCTCACTCCCTCGATCACACACTCTCTTACTCACTCACTCACTCACTAACTAACCCGAGTGATCACTCACTCTCTTACACAAACCCTCACTCAAAAAATCACTAACTCGACTAGTCACTCTTTTAGTCATTCACTCACTTAGTCCATCACTCTCTTAATTACTCTCATTCCTTTCTTCTCTGCCTCCCTCTATAACTTTCTCACTTACTTACTCACTAAATCACTCGATCACTCACTCGATCATTCACTTACTTACTCACCCACTCACTCACTCACTTACTCACTTATTCTATCACTCAGTCACTCATTCATTCATTCATTCATTCACCCACTCAATCACTCACTAACTCACTCACTCGATCACTCATTCTATCACTCACTCAATATTCATCACTCACGCAATAACTTCATCACTCACACACTTACTTGATCACACAAGCTCTCACTCATTCACCCAATCACTCAAGCATGCTCTTGCTCATTCATTCCGTCACTCACAATGTTTTTCATTTCATTTAAACACCGTTTGGTTCAAGTAAAAGTTCAAAAAAGGGGTAACAGTCATTTAGGAGTTCTGAAATTAAAATTCTTCGCTTTGTGATTAGGGCTCGCTTTCCCTCTCCTTCAATTACATACTATTAAGTCGAAGGTAAATATTTGATATATCTTCACCTGCCATGCGGTTGTTGTTAACATCACCATCTGTGATTCAGATATACAAATATAGTTAAATATTTGGGTATATATGTATGTATTTATGCAGCGCGAAATTAAACAGTTTAGTTGTTGCTGACCCGAACTATCAACACTAAACAAACGTAATGAACTCGTGTCTTCCTGCCGCCACAGAAACAAAGCCCTCCTACGCAACAACTAAACTGTTAAATTTTGCGCTGCATAAATTAGATAATATTGTATCTGAGCGATGGTAAAGATTATTCTCATTAACTCCCCTGATGAGTGGGCAACCACGAAACAGGTCTGTAGGGATAAACTGGCAGTTTATTTGTCTTTTTCCTCCCACAATATATACATCGCTCTACCCCTATGTATTAAGCACTGTTTTACGTACGTCAAATTTTACACTTCATAAATTTAATTCATATATACAAATATTTATTTCACAGAAAGGAAAAAATAGTGAAACGGTTGTAATTGAATCAAAACTAACGAACAGCAGAAAACACAGAACAGAGAAGTTTTCTCTGCTAGTGACGTTTATATTGGTGTCCATTAGGAGCATTAGATAGGCCATCCCAAACTTTATTTCACCTTTACTAAGGGTAGGAATTTTATTCTTTTAATGCTTTTTATTTCAGCGGATGACCGTGACTGGAACATCATGATGCCAGTCTATCTTCGCTACTAAATTTCAATTCATACTTCTTACCGTCACTGACCCCAGTTGCATTTGCGATGAACAAAAACTAAGCAAGGAAAAGGAAAAAAAACTAGTTCTTTTATTATTATCGCTACAGTTATTGCTATCATTTCACATCAATTCACGATGATTTAAACGAGTCTTACAAGAGCCTCTTAGACTGATGTGGACATCAATATAGAAAGTGTGTATGGATGTTATATTGAATAACTCGGATGTTTGAGGAACTTCTATTATTATGCATAGCACATGTCATCAGATTGGTCAATACATTTCCGAGCTATGTTTTATGAGGCTTTTGACTCTCGCAAAGAGAACGACAGAAAGTGACAAGTAGATTGAGTCTACAAGTTGGAGAAGTTGAAAATTTCCCAAAATTAATGAGAAAAAAAACTCCTAGAATAGATTCCTATCCAATAATTTTGTAGTAGATCTTTCGAACCAAGTCTTAAGTTACATAACTATAAATGCAGGAACATCAAACAAAACAACATTATTTACAGTTAGAAAGCCTTCCTTACCGTGAATATTTGCAGAATCGATTTCATGGTCTTCACTTTTCCAAATCGATCAGACCTTAGACAATTTTATCTCGCATTTATTTCAATTTTTCATGGCTATGAGTCGCTGGCGAAGCGTGAAAAATAACCTTTCCTTGCAAATTGTCATCTGTCAGTAAAAAGTAAACCTGTATGCTTTTATTTATTGTAATCGTGAATTTATGAACCTCCTGGAGTTATTCTATCCCTTCATAAGGTCGCTTTGTGTACCAAATCAATTTACTGTCTAAGAGAATTGAACCAATGAGATAAAAGAGCTCAGTTTGTAATTTGAAGTCTATTGAAAAGAAATAGAATCCTTTGTGCGTTATGTTATCGGTGCTGAAAGAAGTTTACGTTTTCATCTCTATAATTTGGATAGAGTCACGAATAAACTTGCTTAATTTTTTATTTGTGTCTTGATCGTCATATTTAAATGCATATGATGAACTCGTTATCAGGGAACTTTCTTCGTCTTCGTTAAAACAAGAACTTCAAGTTATTCGATAAAGTTTATTCGTTTTCATCTCTATAAACAAAATTTGGATAAAGTCAAATTATTATTTAACGGATAAATTTTGCACAATTTTCTCTGTTGTTTATTTATAAAAAATAAGATTTTCACACAATTTGTCTCTGTTGTCTATTTATAAAAATTAGATTTTCACACGCTATCTGGTGTTGGTGTTCGTGAGTACCCTTTCTGAGCGAACTTTCAAAAATAAATGACATTACAGGAAAGAGAAATTAATGGATACACAACCATAAATTATGGACGCTTTTGTGGTTGGAAAGAGATTGTCACGAAAAAGATTGCCACCCTCTAGGTTATTCGACGAATTAACAAACAGAAAGCTTAGGAAGAAAATAAAAAAAAAAAACCAATGTATAGCTACAAATATGGTAAATATATTACTTTGAATTAACCAGAATATAAACTGGAGAATAAAGAGATGTCATTTTCATTGTCTTCATACTGTTACCATGTTTACAATTAACGATCAACTCTCTTCAAAACGAAGGAGGGACTTTTTCTTTAATTAAGAAGTTGAATAAACGTAACGGGTGTTAAATCCTGCGCTTTTTTTCCAATGAAAGATGGCTTTTTTTCATATTTAAGCCACGGACTAGTTTCAATATATCACGTCATGTGCGGCTGCCGAAGATGTAAAAGCGGCTGTGCTCGACAAGGGGACGGCAAACCGAAACCCAAAAATTGGAGACTGTTCGCAAGCTTAACAGACCACAGTATGAGGCCTTACAGACGGCGGTAGAGCGCCAGTAACTGGCTGTTATTGTGTAAACCCTGATACGGATCGCTGTATGATAAAAAGTGACTGTTACTGGGGCCTGCATAGAAACAAAATAGAATGAAAGAATACCGCTCGATTTGAAAGAAAGTGAATATCTTTGTTATTCAAACCCCCTTTTTCTTTTTAAAATATGTTGAGAATAACGCACAGAGAAGCTGTCGATGACATCGGCAGGACAAGGTAAGGGGATCAAAGTGGAGGAGTCAACTCTTAAATAATAAAGCAATACGTAGCCGTTTATCAAGTGAAAACCTGCAGGTTTTTGGGCTAAGAAAAACAGTGTAAATTTAATAAGTGTAGGCGTAAGAATTTGTATTATCATTTTTTGTTAGTGTTGGTGTTTCATAGTTTTGTGTTAGGTGTTTATTTTCTCGTCTTCATTAGTGTCCTTTGTCAGTTACCAGTTTTGTACTTGTTATATTTATTTGCATATCGTATATATATTGGTTGCGCGTAATTTATTTGGTTAGTTGTCTAGTTTGCGAAAATTATCGTTACATATCTAGCTCTGGGTTTCATGTTTTCGTCTTTGGTTTGGTCACATTCGTCTTGTAAGTATCCTTGTCTATTTCGCTTTGTCGTTTTCCAGTACTTTCACTCATACGATGTAAGTTATTTTATGCTCATTCGCGTGTTTGTAATTTTGTCATTTTCAGTTACCGTATTCAACAATGTGTCAAGTTTGTTCTAGTAAAGTTTGAAATACGAGTGATTAGCGTTTGCGGCTATAATAAGGTCTTCACAAAATTTTGATCTATTTAATCCAGATACAACGATAACGCTGATGTTGTTTAGGAATCCTAATTGATGGCATATCTGACTAGGCATTATTTTTGACATGCAATAGTCAAACTAAATTTAAACAAATAAAACTTCTGTGCTTGGCTACATTGACTTTGGAACACTGCAGTTTTGTGTTCA